TGGTATCGGGTTGGTGCTCGTGGCACTGTTATGGCTGGTCTTATTGAGAACGGTGTATACAACGAGACAGACTTGTTCTACTCGGACAACATGGAATCTGCCGCTGATCCCGTCATATTCGATGCGCCCTGGTTTTATCGCGAAGAGTTCACATTGAACCCATCCACTGGCCAATATTTTACCCTGAAGACACACGGAATCACATCCAAGGCCGACATCTATCTGAATGGAGTGCTCATTGCATCAAGTGACCAGCAGCAAGGCACCTATGGCGGCCACCAGTACAACTTGACCGAGCATGTAAAGGATGGAGCCAATTGTCTTCTCATTCGCGCGTACCCAACCAACTATCTCCGCGATTTTGCCCAGGGATTTGTGGACTGGAATCCCTACCCAGCCGACAATGGCACCGGCGTTTGGCGAAACGTTGAGCTTTCTCAGACTGGAGCGGTCTCGATGTCGCCGTTCCGGGTCCTCACCGATTTTACTGGTTCCACCTCTGGGCCGGTGAAGGTCACCCTTCGAACTGATTTGACCAACCACGAATCGAGTGATCACCAGGTACTGATTAAAGGCACCATCAAAGGGCCAGATGGCTCCGCAGTCGCGCAAATTAGCGAAACATTTGCCTTGAAGTCAAACGAGAAAAAGACGGTGTCTATAAGTGTGTCAATTGCGAAACCTGCTATTTGGTGGCCTGCTCTTTGGGGTCAGCAGCCTTTATACACAGTACAGGCCAGCACCACCATCCAGAAACCCAAGGCGTTGGTGTCAGATAGTTCAATTCCCCAACAATTCGGAATTCGCCATGTATCATCAAAGTTAAACAGCCACAATGATACCGAGTTCTCCGTCAATGGCGAGCCCTTCCAGGTCATCGGAGCTGGATATGGACCGGATATCTTTTTGCGATTCGATGTTGACAGGATACAAAAGATTTTCACCTACATGTTGGATATGGGACTCAATACTGTGCGCCTGGAGGGAAAACAGGAGCACCCAGAACTTTATGATCTCGCAGACAAGATGGGAATGATGATCCTGGCAGGATGGGAATGTTGTGATAAATGGGAAGGATGGACAGTAAGTCTTCTCAAGACTCTACCCGAGACGATAGATCACTGACAAAAGAAACCATAGTACAATGACGAGGCCGATGGTGTCAAATGGGGGAAAGCAGACTACCCAATTGCGAAGGCAGCAATGCTGCACGAGTCAGAGATGATGCAAAGCCATGCTTCGATGCTTGGATTTTTGGTTGGCTCAGACTTCTGGCCGAATGAGCAGGCCACCGAGATTTATCTCGATGCCCTTAAAGTCATGGATTGGCCTAACCCAATCATTGCATCAGCCAGCAAGCGTGGTTACCCCGAAGCTCTTGGACCATCCGGAATGAAGATGGACGGTCCATATGATTGGGTACCCCCGAATTACTGGTATCACAACAAGGAAGGAGCGGCGTTCGGCTTTGGATCTGAACTGGGTGCCGGAGTTGGAACCCCCGAGATGGGCAGCCTGAAAAAGTTCATGTCTGATGCCGAGCTGGAAACACTCTGGAAAGAGCCAAATGCGGACCAATATCATATGTCCCGCTATGATTCGCAATTCTACGACCGGAAGCTCTACAACAAGGCTCTCTTTGCCCGATACGGAAAGCCAACTAGCTTGGAAGACTATATAATCAAAAGTCAGATGGCAGATTATGAGGCCACCAAAGTCCAGTTTGAAGCTTACGGAGCGCAGCAAAGTGCCGCTCGACCTGCCACGGGAGTTATTTATTGGATGTTAAATAGTGCCTGGCCAAACTTGCATTGGCAATTGTTTGATTACTATCTCAGCCCCATTGCGGCCTACTTCGGCACCAAGGTCGGAGCGCGTGAGGAACACGTGGCTTACGATTATGAGAGCCAAAACATTTGGTTGATTAATCACTCGCTTGATAAGAGCGGAAATCGGCAAGTCAAGGTAGACTTGATTGATGCTGATGGCAAAGAACTATCCGCGGCCACAGTGGAGAGCAACACAACGCCCCATTCCTCAAAATTGGTGACTTCCCTTGCCGGAATCAAGAAAGTCAAAGATATTGGCTTCCTCCGTCTCACACTCAGCGATCCCAAATCTCAAGCCGTCATTAGTCGCAATGTTTACTGGCTATCTTCGACCACGGATGTCTTGAACTGGTCAAAGTCTAACTGGTACACCACACCAGTTACCAAGTATGCGACATACACCAAGCTGGAGGCATTGAAAACGGCTACTGTGAAGGCTTCACTACACAGCGTGGCATCACCAACAGACGATGGTTTGACTCATGCCGAGGTCGTGCTCGAAAACCAATCTGCAGGACCGGCAGTTTTCATTCGTCTCAATGCCATTAATACATCCGAAAACGCAGAGATTGCGCCGCTTTATTGGTCTGACAACTATGTGACTTTGTGGCCGAAAGAACAGCTTCAGTTGACTGTTGCATTTAAAGGAGATATCCAGGATACTCTGATCGAAATCACAGGAAGAAATGTGGAGAAAGTGACGATCAAGGCTTAGGATGTGAATGGATGACATAAGGGGTTTCATGTAGCCCAGGAGATGATGTGAATTTGTATTAAGAGTCAACATAATGCTTGTAATTGAAGAAGCTTTTAACTTGCTTGCTACATCAAGGCCTTTTGTTTATCACGAAAACAATGTTCATTAAATACAGTAGTAACTGCGGTTTGACTCGTGACCGACCGTCTAGTTTGGATGGTTGTACTCATTCTCCCACACCAAAAGATAATGCCATGAAAGAAATTTTGCCTGGAGTGCGAACAAACTCACGAATGGGTTCAGTTTTTAGACCTACTGTAGTGTGTCGTTCAATAGTATTGCAAACAGAGCGTGGGCATTAGATACGTCAAAATATAACTATGTAAGTAGATATTCACCAGAACTTCTCAAGTATGTACAAAAGAAAAGTGAGTTCAAAAAAAATACAAATAGAAACATGACTCGAAATGTACAATGTACCAAAATCACATAGAAGCCGCTTGCCCTAAATGTGGGGGAGGACTTTCAGTCTTTGTCTGTAATAAATCCAACACATGTGACACCTTGGGCCCAGAATACTCAATCCCAAGGACAGTTGGAGTTTTGAGATCTTCAGAGTAAAATACGTTGAGATGCTGGCCCTTTGAAGTGCACAGTGAAGGCGTTTTCGGTATATCTGGAAAAGCTAAGAGATTCTTAGCAGGCGTGCTGGCCCAGAGATAGTATAGCGAGATGCTTTGCAAAGCCAAAAATCCCTGACTCAGCTCCTTGAGAAATGGAGCCCAATCACTCCCTGGTGCCAGAGAAACATGATATAATGTGAGTGAGAGCAACTTTGGGCGGATATTGGCGAGTAACTTGTGGAGGTCGGGTCCTCGCGTGGATGTTCGGAATAAAGCGAGTTCGCGCAGTTGGGGAAAGCTGGCACTCTCGGCCAGTTCATGCATAAATTCAGACGCCAAGTCGTGCGATCCGAGGTTTAGTAGAAGTGTCTGGAGATTTGGAGCGCTAAGAACCAGCTCAAGCAGGAAGCCAAAGTTATCCAGCGTGAGATATTGTTCCAAAGAGAGTTTTTGTAAATTGGCCCACACAAGCTTGAACTCGGGTTGGCGATAGAGAAGCTTGGGAAGGCGACGCATATCCATAATCAAGGTGCGCGAGTATTTGTTGGCATATATAAGATGGAACGATGAAACCGGCAGACGAGCATCAACGACCAGGGCAAAGAACACAGCGACAGCGTCCGTGATAGTAACATGGCTCATATCTGGATGACCCTCTGGGTATCGACAAAAAATAAAGAACGACCGACAATTTGTTAAGTTCTGGATTAGATTATCACGCAGAGACCGAATCGCTTCAACCTCTAGAGGAGCGGATATAGGTCCCCATGGATGACGGTCCCAAACCAGGCCGCGACCGACACCATTTTGAAGCATGAAGGCCAACCCGTTGACATAAGGGCATAATGCAGTATTCTGCGACAGAGCGTTGATACGGCGCAAACTGTCTCCAGAGAGGTCGGTCTTGATGGATGAAAAGAACCGCTGCGCAAAGTGATGAAACGTTTTCCTCTGAAGCTCGCGACAGACTAAACGTAGTGGTAATAAGCCATCTGCGTCGAGGAAGCCTGCAATCAACTCGACCAGCTCGACAGGGAAGGAAGGGAGGTAAGCTAATGAATTTGGTTTCATTGTGGGAAGATTTACATGTCATGGGAGAGTGTAAGTGTAAGATGACGAAAGGTGGAGAAGGTGGAGAGAGGGTGGAGAAAAGAGCTTCCCCAGATTTTCGAAACCTCCAGGCATGTGGCTGTTCATTACCCCTCACTTGGACAACCTTGGTCGAATGACTGTGTTCACGGAAATAGTCGGAATGTAAAGAAAAAAGGAGGGTTGCACGATGAATAATGATCTTATATGGTATATGTAGAACATAGATGTAGAACACTTGACTTTCCACGCGATATACTTTCGCCCCGATGCCGATCTGATTGAGCGACAACATGTGTACTCTATGATGTGCCAAATTTTTTAATCTTGTCTAGAAAAACGTCTTACTGCAATACAGCTTTTACGGGACCCATCATCCCGAGCCATCATGGACAAATATGGTTGTTGATCTGATATCCATTTGATCGCTTCGTATTTATTCATTTTCTTGTGCTGCAGTGTTGTTTCATCATCACTAAAGCTGTATCGACATTCCATGATCACACAAGTCGTTTGACTTGACACTGGGAACTCACACTACATGGACTCTTTCTTGGAGGGTAAATAAAAAGGTGTACAGCGAAAGGCAAATATATGGTGGAGGAAAGAGCTTCCACGGAGTTTGGAAGGTCTTAGGACTGCGTCTGCGAACCTAACACATGTGCCTGTAATGACTTTGTATGATTGATGATTTTCATACAATGAATGACCCCGAAGGTTGGCATGAGATGTGACACGAATCCTCTAAGCATCATATATCATTCATTGCTGCATATTTGCTGTGAAATTTTTCCACATCGAGCAACGCTCGACCTCCACCTGGGGAATAGATTCCATTTCTGTCGAATTTGTCTGGAGTCTGAGTCGCTGCCCAGCTCCTGAGCCCCATGGTTGCCATTCTGGGGCGTCTTTGTATCGGTAAATGTTGGGATCCAAGACTCTGATAAAGCTCAAGTAGTAGTTCATGGTGATGGGTACGATTTTTGCGTTGGAGCTGGCATATGAATAAGTTGGCTGATTGGTTTCCCCTATCCCAAAAATCGCAGGCAAATCAAATATATGAGAAACTCCCATCCCATTTGCAATCTTTGTGGGGTCTCGGACATTGTACCGATAGTTCCAGATGCGGTGGAACGAGAATGATTTGGCCATTGCGGCGGTCATGAAGTTCCCTGGGCAAGTGAAGGTTGAATCTCCATAAGCGCCCGCAGCCGATGCGAAATAAGCTGCGTGCTTAGGAAGGGGCTCCACATTTTCGTATGCTTTGTTCATCGCGTCGAGCTGGTCATGAGAGAGTCCGGGATAATTGTTCTTCATGAACTGGGCTACTTCGGACTTGCTGCTTGCATTATATGCAAAGTCTGTGCCCTCATTTGTCTCATCCCCGACTAATAAGGGAACGTGAATAAAATTTCCTTCACTGAACAGATTGTAAAGTTGATCCTGTATCAAGTGTCCATCAACAACAGGAAGGAAATACCACCGGGGGACTGGCGTGGGACTGCCCCCTGGAAACGGCTTGTCGATGTTGAACTTTTGGATCGTTTTGATATCCACAGAACGCAAACATGTCAAGGAGTCCTTTGCCTTATGACAGTTAACATCTTTTACGAATCGGTCGTACTGGAACTCCATCTGTGCAACTGTTCTTTGAGTAGGCCAGAATGGTGACTCTGCCACTGCCCCGATGAAAAGGTCTGTATTGCGCTCACCATACGCGGTGAGATGATGGGCAACTGATCCTGCACCGGAAGAGTCACCATGAATGACTACATGGCTTGAATTGCCTCCAAATTTGCGAATGTGCCTCTGAACCCAATGGAGTGCCTTCCGCTGATCGAGCAGTCCAGCATTGAGATCTCCATTTTTTCGCACGTGCTCACTGGCAAGAAATCCAAGGACACCGACGCGGTAATTAAAGTTGACAAAGATAATGTTATGACCAGACTGCTGAACAACCTCGCTGCCGTTATAGTTGCCATTCGCATTATTGGCGTATCCACCTCCCTGAATGAACAACCAGACAGGAAAGTTGGAATCCGCAGTCGCATTCGTTGGTCGCCAGACATTGATAAATAAACAATCCTCTGCTAAGGAGTCATTTGTTGACTCTCCAACCCCCGCGCAAAGGGGTCCAAACTATTCAAGTCAGTTCAATGCACTGAAGCCAGGGTGGATAACGGTCTTACTGATGATGCATCCGAGACCCCTACAGTATCTTCTGGATCTTTCGGACCTCGGAATCGCAAGTCGCCTAAGGGTGTCTTTGCATATTTCATCCCGAGATATTGGTCAACACCATTGGAAAGTGACACCCCCCGATACTGAGAATATACCAAGTCGATTATCGGCAATCGCGTCATTGATGGGGAAGGAGAAGCCGATAGTAGACCACCAAAGAGACCTGCAGTCAACATTATAATCATTTGAATGGCGGTCATTGTCTAACCCCCGTCTAAAACGCTATACACCACGTTTCGATGCCTTGTCTTTTGACGTCAAGGGTCGGAAACCGAGGAAACCTTGAACCTTCACCAGCACCCCTTCAATAGTATATGATTCACCGCCCTCCATATACTTTAGGGTGAACCAATCAAAAAGAAAAGGAAGGCCCATCACTTCAAGTTAGGAGGTATGCATGTATCGACACATTTTCTGGATCGCTCACAAAATCATTGCCAATCTCGAGAATCGGACAGATGGATCCATCCGGAGATGGCACTTATTATTGTTTTCCTATTTCACAAATTAAATATGGGAACAACTTCTCTTCACCACAAGCATTGATATTATCCATCTAGCTTAAGCTGCCGAAGATGAGATTATCGGCATGCCACAATTTTAAAATAGATTAATGCCAAAGGCATGAAATCCATCACGTGATCAAATCAGCTCCAGGGCCCACTTTTGTTCATCCTCGTTGGCAGTCCCGGTAACGGTCCGTTAACGCCTGGAAAAACACGAGAATAGGAATAGTCGAGCTTGAAATAAAGCGCCATCGCAATGAAAACAAAAATACATATACTCTGGGTAGCCCCTAAAAAATGACGTTCCTATCTAGACTTCTCGGCCATGCAGCCTGTGCACCCACCGGATTCTTGTGCAACTGAGCCGCATCCACAGCCCCTGTGTGAGATCCACCCGGTCGATGGAGAGAATCCTCACGCCCCAGATCCGAGTCAACACAAAAAGTCAGAAGGTGATCAGGAAAAACAAGCGATCGACGATGAATTGGCGCCCCTTCACAGTGTCATGCCAAATGGCGAAAAGACTTTCGTTATTATGGCGGGATCTTTTGCGGCCCTGTTTTCACCTCTCTCCAGCAGTATTTATCTGCCGGCGCTCCCATCCTTGGCTAGCGACATGAATGTTTCTGTCTCGCTGATTAACTTGACTATCACAACATACGTGGTATTGACCACTGAGCTATACAGAGAGAATATGCAGCTGATCATTTATAGATATTCCAAGGACTAGCACCTTCTTTCATTGGTAGCTTTTCAGACATCTATGGGCGCCGTCCTGCATATATCATTGCATTTGTCATTTATCTCGGAGCCAACATTGGCCTCGCTTTGCAAAACAACTTTACCGCATTAATGATCTTGCGCTGTATGCAGTCCTCGGGCAGCAGTGGCACAATTGCCTTAGGGACCGCTGTCATAGCCGATCTCTCGACTCGTGCCGAACGAGGAAAGTACATTGGATATGCTGGAATTGGGATGGCACTAGGACCGACACTTGGCCCAGTTATCGGTGGGCTGTTGGATCATTTCCTGGGGTGGCGATCGATATTTTGGTTCCTGGTCATTCTATCGGGTGTTTGCTTTGTGGTGATCCTTGTTGTTTTCCCTGAGACATGTCGAGCTGTTGTGGGGAATGGGTCGGTGCCACCAGCCCCGTGGAATCGCCCACTGTGGACATTGTTCGTACGAACATCCCGATTCGACGACGAACAAGGGACCGCCGATCACTCCACCATCCAGGAACTGAAGAAGCGCCCAAACCCAATTTCAGCTCTCTTAATAGCCACACAAAAAGAGATGGGGTTGGTACTTTTATACGGCTCCTTTTTGTACGCAGGGTACATGGCCGTTATCAGCACTCTATCGACCGAGTTGGCAAGTCGATTTGGATTCAACTCGATTGAAATTGGACTGTGCTATCTTCCCATGGGCCTTGGAAGCATAAGCTCACGTTGGGTAGTTGGCCGACTCTTGGACTGGAATTTCCGCCGCGAGGCACATTTGCAGGGAATGATCATTCACAAGAACCGACAACAGGAAATTGGAAAATTCAATATCGAACGAGCACGCCTGGCGATTACCCTTCCATTGATTTATTCGGCTAGTCTTTGCATCTTAGCTTACGGTTGGGTAATGCAGTATCGCACTCCACTGGCGGGCCCCCTTGTGATGTTGTTCTTCACTGGTCTTACAACCACGAGTGCGTTCAATACCTTGACTACATTGGTTGTGGATATCAATTACCAAAGCGCCGCGACCGCTGCGGCAGCAAATAATTTATTTCGCTGCCTCATGGGTGCTGGAGCCACGGCAGTCGCGTCCCCTCTAATAAAATCCATTGGCATTGGATGGACAGCTACATTCATCGCTGGCCTTTGGGTGTTAGGCAGTCCTGCTTTATGGGTTGTTTTTTACCGGGGGTACCGATGGAGAAGCGAACTTTCCCACAAGCACGAGAAAAAAACTAAAAGTTCTTCCCACGATTTACCAATACCGCTAGAAAAATGAGCGATCGGACCAAAGAGGAAGCCAATCAGATCAAATATCAAGGAAGTGACGGGACGATCAAGATCTAGTACTTATGTTCTACATAATGTCTCTCATGACTCGATCCAAAAGAAAGCTTGTAAAAGCTTGGCATTTGGCCCCACAATTGGCTTTTTCACTCCACAATGAAATGAGTTGACGACGCTAGCGCCGAGGATTACGCATGCTCTTCTATATTTAAAAAATGATATTATGGAAATGAGATTCCCCGTTGTCCATTTTTTGGGGAAACATTTTATTCATTCCTTGATGCCTCTGTGATTCTCTTAAGCACCGCAGTCTACGCCTATTTTTTTTTATATCCTCATCGGTGCGATTTATATGGTTTCTCATACACCATCTTGATAAGATGCACTTTCTCGGGGACTGGTCGCCCTTAAGAGGTGCTGTCGCTGCGATAATCCTCTCGAGCGTAGCACGCGCAATCACTTTCGATATTAACGATGAACGTACGTGGTGGAGTTCGGATCCTCCCTTCATGTCAATTACCGAGGGCAACGAGAAGCTAACATTTGAGTTCATAACAGAGTCAATCAAAGATGCCGCGAGTACATCGAGTTATGCTATGATGAAGTACTATTACGGCAACGAGACCGGTCAGATCCCTGGAGCCTTTCCAGACAAATGGTGGGAAGGAGCCCCACTCCTTATGGCCCTGTTAGAATACTGGCACTTTACTGGCGACACGACATACAACGAGGAACTAAGTGTTGCATTGCAATGGCAATCAGGCACGTCCGGGGACTATATGCCAAGCAACTACAGTTCTTATTTGGTGAGTACCGTCAGAGTATGGGCAATGAATAATATCTAATACCGATTATCCACTAGGGAAACGACGACCAGATGTTCTGGGGTCTAGCAGCTATGACTGCCACTGAGTTCGCATTTCCGGATCGCTCGACTGGATTCTCTTGGCTCTCTCTAGCCCAGGGTGTCTTCAATACTCAGATCAAAAGATGGGATACAACCTCCTGTGGCGGTGGTCTACGGTGGCAAATCTGGCCCTACCAGTCTGGCTACGGAATGAAGAACTCTATTTCTAATGGGGGGCTATTCCAGTTATCTGCGCGTCTAGCCCGCTACACCGGAGATGCAATCTATCTCAAGTGGGCTAACAAGATTTGGGATTGGTCTGTCTCGTCACCTCTGCTTAACAATTCAACATGGAATGTTGCCGATTCCACCAATGTTGATAATGATTGTGCGACCCAGGGAAATGCCCAATGGACTTACAACTATGGCACCTTCCTGATGGGGGCGGCATATATGTACAACTATGTAAGGAACCCCCATTTCAACTTTTAAGGCTTTGTTCGTTCTGTCAGAGTGCTTGAACTAACCCCTCCTGCTTACAGACAAATGGCACTGCCCAGTCTCAATGGCTGACGGCAGTGAATGGCCTATTGAACAAGACCATTGACGACTTTTTCATCACCGATGGGATTATCGAAGACTATTACTGCGAGCCTGCAGCAAACTGCAATAACAACGAGATCCTCTTCAAAGGACTGACTTCCACTTGGCTCGCATTCACTGCTCTACTTGTTCCATCGACATATGACACCATTCTCGCGAAGCTCCAAACATCAGGCCAGGCAGCAGCTGCATCCTGCACTGGCCACAACAATGGAACCTGTGGTGTCCGGTGGTATAAGTCTACATGGGACGGGTGGATGGGAATGGAAGAACAGATCAGCGCGACAAAGATATTCACGGCAAATTTGATCAATTTCAACAACACTGCTCCGGTGACCTCGACAACTGGCGGAAACAGTACAAGCAATCCAACAGCAGGAGACAGTGACACTACTGCCTCCACCACAACGACGACTGCAATCACAACTGCTGACAAAGCAGGCGCTGGCATCGTGACCGCAGTTTTCGTGAGTGGCTGGATTGGAATCATGTGCTTCATGATGCTTGGTAGTTGATTGCGCTAGCACGCGTGAACATCTTTTCCTTGGTCATTTTTTATTTGTACATTTGGAGTTTCGGTTACCTGGCGCTGAGCGACTGTAAATATTCTATTGCGATGGATTTGACATACGAGAAGTGAAGAAATAGACATCTCCCAGTACCTGTGTGGGAAGACACCAACCAACGCACTGAGTCAACATTTTGTATTTATATCCACTGGAGCTTTCAATTGATACCAGACAAGAGTAGTTGGCCGCTTATGCGGCCTCGTGACGCCTTTTTTGCTGGTTTTTGAATTGTATTATTTTTTCGTGTATATTTCCCCGCTTGTTGGCATTGCAGTTAGAATATAGGCGGAAAAAGGCTTGAATTGTGAAGACGACTTTTTATGTACAACGTATTTTGAGGGGGATGCCAACGGGTTGCTATTGCACTTCCATGTCATCCTCGAAAGGATCATACTGTGTGTTGACAGTGGTGGAGTCAGATCTTTCATTCGAATGAGTTTGAACTGAAGATTCCTTCAAATGTACCGGAGACATGGATGAAGCGGTGCGCAAGAAATGCACAAGCAGTAGTCACTAGCGCTCCGCAAAGCCCATCGATGGGGCCATATAAGGCCCCCATTAAAGCCCATTAAACGGGGCTCATCCGGCATCTCATAATCGCTTTATAATATTGTATTCTAACCCTTTAACTAGTAGTATAATCTCTCTAGCTATATTGGGTGTTGAGGAAAATGGATATTATGAATTTGTAAACTAGGTACATTTTGTATGGGCACGCCATATAAAAAGTACCTAATTTCAAAATTTATCGTTGACTGAGAATTATCGTTGCCTGGGGCGCACTAATACATGGAAGGTGTGTTGGGCGCTTGGCACGGTTATATTCGGGATTTATAGGAGTACGGAGTATTACTTTCTAAGTGAACTTCTGTATCATAAAAACTATCTAAATCACGCGTTCTCTCGCGTTTTTAGACATAATACAGAGAGATGACTGGTAATTGATTTTAAATAATTGAAACTAATAAAATATTACCTTTTAGATAAGGCCTAGAAACGGGGGTAAAACGAGGGGTAATTTCAAAAATCCTAAAAGGGGGTTTAACCTCTGAAATCTCGGTATATTTGTACTGTTTGGGGCCCACTTAGGGGCCCATTAACCCGCAGTGGACTTCTACTTAGGCCCATAGCCCACCGGTGGGCCCGAAGGTAGGGCTCAAAGCCCAGCCCATTTGCGGGTTGGGTTGGGTTTGGCTATGGTTTATGGGCTTTGCGGATCTCTACTAGTCACGGGCCCGGGTGGTTGAGCGTTCGGACCACTAGTAAAATGTTAGACTGAGACAGTCAGATCAGAATTCATGAGTTACCTCACTTCTGATTTTTCATTTATTTTTAGAAACATATGTCTGGTTGTTAGCAGTCATGCCATATACGGTGCAGTCTTGTTTGTTGAATCCCTTTTGAACACCTTAGGACAGATCAGCTCGCAATTATAGTAGAAATGTAGATATAAGATCAGGCACTCACCTATTTATGCAAGGCATTGTGTAAACCTGCATGATACTTCAAACCCCCCTTTCGCTTGAACAAAGACCACGTTCAAGGTTGTCTCTTCCTCCTCCCCATGCCGGATTTCATAGTCTGGCTTGCCAACCAATCTGTAGCTCTTCTGATTCCATTTCAATAAACCGTCATTCCATTGTCGCTCGGTTTGAATATGGCTTCTACGCCCGAACATTATGTGACCAGATGACGCAATATCATGGGCATAGACCATAAGTGTATCGAGGGTAAACCGAATGTTTGATTCACTAGTGTCATCAATCGAGGTTGCCGAGTCAATCTTGGATAGCATATTAACTGGACTCAGTTAGCATGATATGATCTTCTTCGTTTGGCTAGCCACATGCCTAGTTTAAATAACATGGGAAGGGATGGGACGTTCTCAAGCTCAGGATCATGGCGGACCCTTTTCAAACCTAGTATAACCTGCACTTGGACCATGCCGACAGAAGAAACCGTGAGGGTGAGGAGTTCTCTTTCGCTCGAGTCATCTTCTTGTACGAGTCTCTATAAGTCTTGTTCGCTGACTTTGCGAGGAAGTCCGAAGACGATGACATGGCGAGGAAGAACTTCTCAAAATCCGAGGGTGTGGAAATGCTGGCAGGTGCGATGTGGGAATGCCCCTTCCTCTCGGGGCTCTATTAGATGCGTTGCAACAAATCTAGTGGTTTTTTTTTCAACTGGAACAAAAAAAAGAAGTATCATATCACCGATATCACTATCTTCGTTGAGCAAAGGGAAGAGAGCCAGCGAGGACTTGAGGGAAATTGTTTATCATATAGTTACATAGTGAGCGTATGCTGTACATAGTGGAACTGGGTCCCGATCTCCGTCCCGACGGCTTCGGCTCGGGAGACATGCCAAACCGGCTTCACATTGCCAGTTGGGAGGTCTGAGAGCAGTCCATAATATAGAAATGGTGTCATTATTGATTATTTTAGCATAAAACTAAAGAAGATATTGAAGAGTTTTCCTGCGCCTGAGACAAACTTGATAACGGTTATGGTCGGCTGTCATCGGTAGAGCAGGTCACAGCGGCTGTTAGCCACATCTCCGATCCTAGCCGAGCCCGACATGATCTCTAACTGGCCACTGACTTACACTGTCAAGGCACTGCGACTGGATAGTGGATATTTCAAGCACTTCAAGCCACAGCGGAAAGGTATGGATCTTCTAAAGGTGATTTTTTGCCCTAGTTGAGGTCACTTTGCCGCAATGAGGGCCCATTTTACAATGGATCAAGGATTAGGCCGAAGACTAGGAAGAAAAAATGTGATCAATGGGCCGAGCGAAATGGGGACATATACTGCGTTCTCTTCCTCGACTAGAGGCTTGTATATTCCCACACAAACACTCAGTTTAATCCCAAAACCTTGATATGATAGCACACAATGGAGCATCTCAACCAACATCCAGACAAATATGAGCCAGAAGTCGACTACCCGATTGACTCCCAAAGCCATGAATCTGACGACACAATTGAAGAAATCAACTCACTCGAGCTTACCCGTATCAATACCTATCGACTGCAACAGAAGACAACGGTAGGTTCCACAAGAGGACCTACTCCCCGTGACAGATGGCTTCCTATGGGTGCCAACAAAGATTATCCCCCTCTACTCCCAGATTCTGAGAACTATGTCGTGGAGTTTGATGGAGCCAATGATCCCTTACATCCATACAATTGGTCTACACCTAGGCGGTATGTTCATTATCATTCCACCCTGTCTATATCAAGATAGACTTGCTAATAACCTAACAGAATCATGTTAGTTTGTATCCTATGTTATGGTACCTTCGCCGGATCGTTTACCAGCGCTGTCTTCTCGGCTGCTATCCATGGCTTTAGCAAGGAGTTCAACACAAGTACCGAAATTGGCTCACTTGGCGTGACACTCTATGTGCTTGGATTCGCAGCAGGACCAACAATTTGGGCACCAGGATCAGAGCTGATCGGCAGACGTTGGCCACTATCTCTCGGACTTTTCGGATGTGCTATCTTCACAATAGCATGTGCAGTTGCCAAAGATATACAGACTGTCATGATCTGCCGTTTCTTTGCTGGTCTGTTCTCAGCCAGTCCTATTTCAGTCGTTCCCGCCGTCTTTGCAGACTTGTTCAACAATACACAACGGGGTGTCGTCATGTCTATTTTCTGCATGGCGGTGTTCATCGGGCCCTTTTCGGCTCCGTTTGTGGGTGGCTTCATTGCCATGAGCCCTTTGGGTTGGAGGTGGACGATGTATATCTCTGCAATCATGGTCTTCATAGGGTTTCTCCTAGTCTTTGTCTTCCTCGACGAGACTTACGCTCCAGTTATCCTTGTCCGCAAGGCGGCTACCCTCCGCCGACAGACTCGCAATTGGGGCATCCATGCAAAGCAAGATGAAGTGGAAGTGGATCTCACGGAGCTTCTGCGGAACAACTTTGCCCGACCCATTATAATGTTGATCACGGAGCCCATACTGCTTCTGGTCTCATTGTACATCTCCTTCGTCTATGGCCTCATCTATGCTCTGTTAGGAGCATACCCTGTTGTCTTCCAAGGCGTTTACGGAATGAGTATGGGTGTCGGTGGACTTGCGTTTATCGGCCTCATCATAGGTGAACTTCTTGGCGGTGTTTATATCCTCCTGATACAGGGTTCATACAAGGCGAAGCTGGCGGCAAACGGTGATAAGCCTATCCCTGAATGGCGCCTTCCCCCTGCGATTATAGGAGCTGTGTCATTTGCAGGAGGGATGTTTTGGTGAGTACTCTTCTTGAACATTTTAAAAATTTATTGTGTTCGGAGCTAATACCCGATAGGTTCGGCTGGACCGGATACACTTCATCCATTCACTGGATGGCTCCTGTAGCTTCAGGGCTCCTCACCGGAGTGGGGATCTTCTTGATCTTCCTGCAGTGCTTCAATTATATCGTTGACTGCTACCCTTCGTTGTATGTTACCTTGCCTTTTCTGTGAAAACGAGTGACTAACCCAATTGACAGGGCTGCATCTACTATCGCCGCGAACACAATCTTACGATCAGCTATTGGCTGCTCGTTCCCACTATTCTCCCGGCAAATGATGGAAAACCTAGGAGTGCAATGGGCAGGAACATTGCTTGGATGTCTCGCAATCGTGATGATTCCCATTCCTGTTCTGTTCAAGGTATACGGTCCATGGCTGCGAGAGAGAAGTAAACTGGCATGCTCGCCGGTTTATGATGTTGAAAAGAAACGTTATGATGTCTGAAAGATATGAATTCATGTAATAGAGTTAATATACCCCAATTTTGTTTTGAATATTAGATCAAGTACACCCAAGGATACATGGATGTCGTGATTAGTTAGTCAGGTAATTATATATTCATGCGCCTTGATTATATATTCATGCGCCTTGTTCGTGAAGCACAATTTTGTTTATCGACACAAATGACGTCACTCATCTAATCAACCCACCGATCCATAGATCGATCGCGATTGCACCTAGCACTTCGCGAGAATCCCACAATCTCTCTGGCACCCCTGCACTGCTCTCGACCGTCAACATCTTTCGGATTCACAATGGAATTCCCTACCAATAAAAAAATAATTTTCGGTCCAGATTGGGACCTCAATCGCTGGACTTCCTCCGATGACCGCGTCCGTGGTGGATCATCGGTGTCAAATCTCGAGCCTACTGCCCAAGGGGTACTTTTTCACGGAAATCTCGACATTGAGACACTCGGTGGTGCCGGTTTTGCTTCACAACGCACGGTCGGAGACGAACAAAGATGGGACCTTAGCGGATACGACGGTGTTGAGCTGCACATTATTCCATCGGACGGAAATCGATACACTTTCTCCTTGACAGACGAAATCTCACAACGGAGGCCTGATGGTCGTGAACAAAGCGCTCTTGTCTGGGAATATGATTTCTGCACGAGTGAGACAGGGCGCGAAGTGCGTCTGTCATGGAAGGATCTGAAACCGACATATCGGGGGAAGCCGGTAGAAGATGCGAGGCCGTTGGACTTGTCGCGTATAAAAAGGGTTCGGATCATGATTCGAAGGTGAGCTCTATATCAAGGGATGTCAGAAAATGGGCGCTAATTTTTAATAGTTTCTTCGGAGCACAACAAGGCGACTTTAGCCTGAATATTCAATCTATCGGAGTGTTCCGCGAGAGCTACCTTGATAACCCTAATGTCACAAAGGAGTCTATCGACGGTGGTGATGAGCAAACCGAACCGAAGGAAGCTAGACTGAAGAAAAGCTGGTTTCCGTGTTGTTGCTCATTGTTCTGACCTTATGGTCTTTCCAAATGAAATATAACTGATCCGGAAAGAATTGCACCATTGATCTCCCGCAGCTACTGGCATGCCATCAATTCAACCTTTGATTGACTTCGGGGGATTTGAACCCTATGGATAATCCAATTGGATTCTCACTCCATGTTTAAGTTGGATATAGGAACGAAGAAGATTAGAGAGACTGCAGAACAAAAGAGTCACCGGGAGAATTCCTGAGGTGACTATCCTCTACTATATATACACCCTAGAGTAAAGTATTAAAATTCCAGACCCTTTGACTGGTTTTCGACGTTACTGATGAAATTATAACCATACTATAACTATTCCTCCACATTTGTCACAGCTGTCTCCGTGTCAGATTGAACCATCTTTTTTACTTTCCTGCACACATTAAGCGACATAAGATCAGGGCGGCTGTAGTGACCCGTGGCATCTGCAAAAATCTTAGTCGCCACAATTTGGTTCATGTCAAGGTCTGCATAGATTAAGCCCTCAGTGGTGCTGTCAATGGGCTCAGTCAACCTCCTCCCGTCGGGACCAAAGACTGCAGAGCTACCTCCTCCTGGAGAAGACATCAGGATCCCCCCGCTCGTATTCATTGCCTTCACTCCCTTTTCAGTAATTACGGCCGTGCAATGGAGAACAAAGCTTTGCGACTCCACGGCGTATGTCTGTGATAAACTATGACAGCCTAGGAATTATGTCAGCGTGCAAATTGCGAGAATAGGAAATGATATACTGATTTACCTTCGGCAGACATAGACCAGAGATCAGCCTTTCCAGTATGAGGAGTCAGGCTTGGCCATGCGGAGACATGAATGTCTTCTCCCTGAGATATCATGAAATACTTCAGTAGTGGCTGGATGTGCTCCCAGCAAGAGAGCGCTCCCACACGCCAAAAGGGCAGCTCCACAACACTAGAGAAACATTCTCCGGAGGCATCTCCAAAAATGGTACGCTCCATATGGGTAGGCTTCATCTTTCGCCGGTGTGACTTGATCTCCCCGTCACCGCCAATCATTACTTGGGCGATATAGACTGAGTTGTTGTCATTCTCGGAAAACCCAAGTGATACCGCAATCGAGTGACTCTTAGCGCATTCCTGAATTTGGTTCATCTCTGGAGAATCGAGAGTGATGGAGTTCTTGATGTATGCCACATTTAACTCGACATCGAGCAACCGGCTCCTGGGACGATTAATTTTACTAAGGTGTATCGTATAGAGGTTTCAACTGAACTTACCAGATCCATCATGGATATCCAGGAATCCAGCACTCTGGAAAGGCTATCAATTTGGCGCCATTCTGGGCAGCCTCTGCGATGAGGCTACAGGTCTTCACAACGCCAGCTGCTAGATCCAGCCACTCTGGCTCGGCCTGGGTCACTGCCACACGAGTCGTTTTTGATGACATCGTGAAGAATGATTTTTCATTCTAGTAAAAATGAAAAGATTAGAAAATACTGGGTCATGGTATCTTTATAGTTTCTTCTCCCCTTTTGTCCCCTCACCCTGGAATCCTGCAGGGAAAAAACCCCGCATTAGGGACTTTTTCCGCCATTTATACAATAACACATATATTAATTGGTTAATTATAGGTTTCCTTCAGCTGATTGACTAATGGAGTCTGCGGAGGCAATCATCAAAGCCTGAAGAATCTTGGTTGAATAACGTTTCGCTACCTTTTTTCTACCGAGGACTACCGTCTGAAAACATCGAAGAAAACACCAAGTGGACTGTGCAATTTCTAATGATGAACCTTTTGTTATTTCCATCTTCGGCATCCAATACCCTAGCGGAGAGGCAAATGAAGATCAGCAACGTCACACAAACGATTTTAACGCACTCGTGAACGAGAAGCCCGCATTTGTGTACCGGTTAATGCAAGATGGATGTGGTTCTATTTCTCACGGAAAGACTTTCGTCTGGCTCGCCTATTTGGATCCCATGGAGACTACGAAACGTGGTGGGAGCAGGAAGATGTCTCTCACTTTTGGAACGACCTTCCCTGTGAGTCCGGAATGTGGAGGGAAGTGTTGACACCTTCTCCTCGGCGAAGCCAGTATGGAATCAACCAGCCTCATGAGAACGGAATGGGCCAATTTGGCACCATAGTTTCCCTCGGTGAGAAATCCGGTTATTGGGGATGCTATCGCCACCGAATGGCTGATTCTGCTATTGATAAATTCAAATCACCAACTCCGGACTCGGAGCCAACTTGCCTTCGAACTCAATTGAACGCCAGTCGTTCTGGCCGAATACACCACGTTGACTTCCCTGACAACCTCTGCTTTGTGGTAGAGGGTCAGGACCACTCTCAATTATCAGCCGAAGAGCGCGAGCATTGGTTCACCAATTTTGACGGCTCTGTCAACCAGTGGGTCAAGGATCTTGTGGATTCTGGACCCGAGGCGGGGATCCTTGATGCTCGATTGTGCTATGAGCCTGGTAGCGGCACATTTTGGGGTTCCGAGCCTCGGGCTCTGAACGCTCTTAACTACAACAAGAAGGTTCATTTGTTCTATTTCAAAGACTTGGGCTATATGGAGCGGATTGGCTGCCTTAACAAGGGACATGTTGACCCGAGAAAGCGCTTTCTTGAGTCATATGGGCCTGGAGGAGAAATCAATGAGGGGAAGATCAGCCTGTTGGTAGAGACAGTGGTTTTGAAAGCGGATGAGGTGGATTGTGAATATATTGGCTATGTCGAAGGCACTGGTTTCATGTCGACAAGCCCTCAATCTTCAATTTGAATGTCAATGGCGCAAAGAATCTTCCTCGCTGCTGACTGTATATCGCTGACCTATCGAATAAGGCGTAGACATGGTACGGAAATCCGCCCGAGACAGAATCTGTGATGGCTAGATAGGTATACCGTGTCAGATCATCTGCCATCATGATTCTACTCTAAGAGCCACGAAACGGATTCAATTGTGGGAAATGTGGGTTCCCCTCGTTCTCCCGTCGAGGCTCCTGGAATATATGGAACTCTGTGGTCTTGTGTATTCCAACATGCTCTAATATTTTCTCCTGACTGGAATGATGGTTGCCTTCTCGGTCAACTTGTGGCTCGGTGTGGGTGGCAAACAACGAAGCATCTGGGGCACGACGGACAAGGAGGATTGGCTTCTGTCGAGAGGCCGACTCCGAGCGTGTGTACGCCGAACTCTTGCGGGATCGCTGAAGCACGACTGAGTAGGACTGTCGGAGGGTAGGCAATGAGGCGCAGATGATAATAATGTACATCTAATCGTCCTCATGAGCTAGAGTTACCTGGGCAGTACAGGGGTACTTACCTCGATTCTGAATTTTATCAACCTTTGTTAACAATTTCTTTAAAAAAAAGGATACATGACTTACGTATACCACATAGTAATGTCGGTCCATGACCTTATACGTGCTTAGTCGGCGTTCTCAGTGAAATAGAAGTTGAGGAATACCCACTGGTGATGTCGGCATGGACAGGAAGGTTCTTGAGCAGAATGCATTTGACCAGCGTGGCCGCCGCCGCACTGTTAAGTCAGCCCAATGCCTCTGACGTGTGGTAAAAAGAGTGAGAATCAAGATACTGGCTCCCATGATGGAGATAATTGCGACCTTCATTTTAAAGGCGAGCTGAACGTGCCAAAAGATGTAAGACGGGAAAACTGCGAGAGCCAGATCGTTGAACGCGTTGAAAGGCTGCCTGGGATGTCCTGGCAATCAGCTGAAAGTTGAGACTGAAGCAGGAGCCATCTACCTTTGGGTTCTAGATACGTTCTGGGGGTTGGCAGAATCCAATGATGACCACGATGGCGAGCACATTTCACGCTATTGAGACAGCATTCATGATGTATAAGAACCATCGGCGCGGCGCAGATGCAGCTTGTCCCATGAGCCGGAGCAGAAAGATAGTTACGCCCATCTTACCAGTTGTGGTGCTGATAACAGAGAAGTTGGGTGCTATGACTGTGTACTTGATCGCCTGAACTTGCCAGTACGCATCTGGAATGTCGCTCAAATGGCGTCCCAGTCCATATGAAACTGCGACTTGGACCAAAGAGGGGCATACCGGAGCATTTGCCAGAGACAGAGCGATGAAGAAGTCATCCCAACCAGCACGCCGCAGAGCCACCACACGTGTGTACAACCGCACATCGACACTGTTGTGATATTGACGCCGTGATGGCTCATTGCGTTGAGTCGACTTTCTGATCATCACCACTTGAGGGCCTAAAAGAGGATGGGAACCCTCATGCAGCGGCCTCGATGATCGCGAAGCATACCCCTTATTCATGTATGCTCATATTAGCAAAACCCTGCTTTCGCACGCGACAGGGTGGTCACACATACTGAAAACTCCATCCCTGTTATTAATCGGCCACTCCACAGTCGAGTAAGTGAGAAAGTCCTATTGGCTTGAAAAAGCGATAGCGGATCTCGGTACTCCGTAGGGCGGTCCGAGACGGGAAGTCAACTGTAGCGTTCTCCACTTCATCATTTCGTCCCGTTATTACTCGAACGTTTCGGAGCCCTAGGATGGTGGACCCAGTGCCATTGGCGAACAGTGCGTTTTCTTTGTTGGCATATCTGGAATCCCATCTACAAAGGAGATCGATATGTACATGATGACCTCATAGGGTTGAGTCTAAATTCTGTCCTGGGAGTGAAATATTGAGCGGCAAATCTGTGGATGCGACGTCCGACAATCTTTCGCGCTTGAAATGATCATCCAGACGCGGTCTATCGCTGACTTTCACTACCCTTGCTAGGAGGCTTGGGGTTAGAAACCCGAGTATCACTACTCGACCAAACATACCACAGCGCGGTTTATCCACTTTCTCATTTTAATTGATGACTAGTGCAGGCATCCAAAAAGGGGGAAGACAAGTGAAGGGCTAAGTAATCCTAGGATTACCGCCGTCAAGTTTCGTACCCCAAATTTTACTTTTGGGTGTTATTCTACATCTTTGTTTCCAGTCGCAACAATCCCCCTTGTATACACATTGTTACGTCTCTACTCAGAATACCTAATATGGCGGCTATTGCGTCCACTGAGTCAATTGACAAGCTGCAGTATCAAGTTACGGAGTCACTGGGGGCTTTCCGAACTCAACGAGAAGAGACAGATCGCGTCGCCGCCCTGAAGGCAGCGCAGAGACTGGTAAATGCACTACAGAAACCGCAGGATTCGGTCTATCACCTGGCCTATTCCGTAATTATTCAATAATTCAGGGCGATTATATTGGTGCTAATTAAGTCTAGCCTACTCATGCCATGTGCGTGCGCATTGCCCTCGACATGGATATATTCGCAACACTGACGGAGCGTGATGGGCCCGTGTCGCTAGATGAGCTGGCAGCCGTGAAGAACGCCAGTCCGATCCTGGTTGGTATGCTGTTATCTATTAGATCATCTGTATTGTAAAGGTGACTGACTATGCGCCGTCTGGATAGAGCGAGTTTTGCGTGTCTTAGTCGGAATTGAATATGTTAGCGAATACGATACACGCGTCTATATTGCCAATACAATGACGCGCTAGCTAACTGACCGACTTAGTATTTTGGTGATCAAGTTTATATTCGATGTTGGCATGCCGACTCTTGCCAAAGTCCCCGAGTTTCTCCGCCGCCAGGAACACCGAAACCCAGAGGGTGCCACTACAGGCCCACTACAATTCGCCGAGAAGATTGACGAGTCGATCTGGACTTGGCTGCCACAAAATCCAGAGAAGCTTGATTCTTGCAATACATTCATGGAGGGTGACTGTGGCGCGCGACCCAGTTGGCTTGAGTGGTTCCCGGTGGAAGAACGTCTTCTATGTGACACTCATCCTGATGCGGAGACACTTATGGTAGATGTCGCAGGGGGCCGAGGACATGACCTCGCAGCATTTGCGACACGGTATCCGGATGTGCCAGGGCGCTTAATACTCGAAGATCTGCCACATGTTTTGGAAGAGAGTACTATAGACGCGGAGCGTATTGAAAAACAACCATTTGACTTGTTTAAACCACAACCTATTCATGGTAAGTTTCGTACTCTTCTACGTGATTTGGATGATAATTAACATAGGTTCCAGGAGCTCGCATTTATTATATGAAATTCATTCTCCATGATTGGTCCGACGAGGAGAATCATGCCATCCTTACTCAGCTGGCTGGTGCAATGAAGCAAGGTTACTCGAAACTGATCATCGAAGAGTTTGTGCTGGCAGATCGCGATGGTGCTATGTTACCGGCGATGTGGGATTGGGAAATGATGATTTTCTGTAACAGTATGGAGCGGTCCCAGTCCCATTGGACTCGCTTGCTAAAGGGAGCCGGTTTCCAAGTTATCAAGTTCTGGGCACCGCCTGGCGATGGGCAAGGCATTATCGAAGCCGAACTCAAATAGTGCAAAGGCAGATTTTTCGGTGTATCATAATAAAGCAGGTATAAACCGTTCTAGGTTCTTAATAGAAGATTGGTCGAACAATTATGCAAGTAGAATTGTATCTTTTTTTTTTAACTCTATCAATCAATGATAACGTTTCTAACAGATCAACGAAGAACACCCCAACCCCGAAAGCAATGTGAACGCTCGAATATCAAAGCAAATTTGACACTTCAAACCAAAGGCATATGCTGCTCATTACTGTATGCTCGCGGTGTCTGAGATCGAGTAGATGATTGACCCGCCGTGGTTTGAGATGTTGTGGAGGTGTTGTGACTGTGACCGTGATAATTTGACACCGACGGGTCACTTCGCGCTGGGAAATATTCCGTGTCCGGCTTGTTGGTGAACATCATTGAGGAGCGATTAAGCTCGAGATCAGTGGCAGAATTGTGTTTCGCAGCCACAAGGGGGATCTTCGAGTACGACTGACTGGACTCCAGCTCCTTCCTAGCTGCAATTCGTCGTGCCCTTGCTTTATTACGCAGACAGTAAAGCAGGCTGAGGCCGCCAAATAGCGAGATCATACAACAGCCAAATACAATTGCTGCTATGTTACCCCTGCGGTTCCATTCTAGGTATTGTCAGTACGATGGAAGGTTTCGGCTTGATGGATTTAGAGACTCACCGTCTAGCTCCGCTGTGGAACTGCTCGTTGCAGTTGCAGTTGCAGTACTTGTTGTCGTTGAGGCGCTGCTTGTTGTCGTTGAGGAGCTGGTAGTCGAGGTGGTAGATGTAGAAGTTGTGGATGATGAGGTTGCAGATGTTGATGTTGCAGATGTTGTGGTTGTAGATGTTGAGGAGGTTGAGCTTGAGGTTGAGGTTTCAGATGTGGAGGTTGCGGTTGTAGATGTCGTAGATGTCGTTGAAGTAGATGTCTCCGATGTGGTTGTATCGGTTGTTGTTGCATCGGTTGTGGTTGTATCGCTGGTGGTATCCGTGGATGTAGTAGAGTCGGTTGTCGTTGTGGTATCTCTGGCTTGGAGTATCACATCATATCCGCGTTTCCCGTAGAGATGCGCCGCCTCCGTTGGCTTTGAGACTGCCCATAAATCCTCCACGGATGTCGTTGTGGCTGAAATCCATGATGTGGTTTCGGAGGTATAGGGGTGACCGAGCACCCGAGAGCACAGCACTGTGCACAGTGCAAATATTGAAAGCTGCATGATGTTGCAGTCAAGGCAATGGAAGAGCAATATTTTGGACAAAAAAGAGAAATAACATTTTCGAAAGAGGATTAGAATACTTTAAGAATGGTTTCGGCATTTGATAGAATCGAAAAAAGGCCACGCGGTATAATTAGCCTGACGGGTAAGACAATTTCCCTATCAATCTATTGTCTAATTATGCTGCTATGGTTTAGTGCTTGAATTTTGTAATAAGCGTTGTGGAATCAGCCAGTGGATAGCCGGTGGAGAAGGTTTAGTTGAACTGCACACGCATATGCCGCGCGGCATACCGCAAGGCTGATTTCATGCTTCAATAATATGTCGATATCTCCAAGGCTGATTTGTGTTTATAACATTTAACAGAAATTTCGATCATTTTCATTGTCGGAATGCACACATGTTATACCTATTAAAGATAGGACCATCCCTTAATACGCTGTTATGTTGAAGTTGGAGAGAGACTCGAAAATAAGACTTGATCCACATGCCACACGACCTCTCTCTCACCTGCACTGCCTCTCATCCTTTCATAAGTCCATAATCGCGACCGCGCCTCGTTTCTATTTCTATTACTATTTTCATTTTTTTTTTCGACAAAATATGGGCAAATAGCGGAGGGTCTGACTATTTTTGGAACACGTACTGCCAAGACCCTAAGAATCGCGCCATTCCAACAAAATTTGGATGTTCAAAGGTGAGATGTTGAAATTAAAAACATGCGCTCATCATGATTATTTGTGAAGAGATTTGAAACCTAGACTGAATTATCCAAAGACCGAATGTCTTCCAAGCCTTATCTGTGTGTTGATCAAAAATATCAGACGGTAACTTGGGATTGTAGCCTGATATATCAGGCATCCAAACGTAAAAAAACCTTGGTAAAAAGGTCCACTTTTCACATGTCCAATCACAGTAATCCTAAGCATCTCGATGAAAGGACCTAGTATGTACACACTCATTGGGGATTACGTAGTATGCCTTGATAATATGCCTTGATTATATGCCTGGAACACAATATAGCAGTTGAATGCCCCTGCCCGAATACTTTCCGCTTGCCACTCAACTCCGGAGGCGCTTAATGCCGGTTCAGGAAGTGAGAGATGAAGAGCCACGTGCCAATGTCTACTAACTTGAAATCTTCCAAGTAGTCCCGGGGTTTCAAGGTTGTTTCAGTGTCTGTCACCGGCAATGACGCAAATTAATGTTATACACGCTTCCATTATGAACGGAATTGCCTTAAGTAGGTGGTATTGTGATAAGACCATGTGGCTTTGGGGTTACAATTTTCTACGGGGTGTAACCCCCGCAAATGTTACAACAATCTGCTGATTACGCCTCCATATGTAAATACCTAGGTGATATCAATTTGATATCCATTGAGTTTCCTATCTAACATACTTCCCGATGGAGCCCATCAAACCCTACTCAGGAGAACCCTTTTGGTCACACAATTAGGTATGTATGTAGTCAGCTGATATATGTGATTTTATTGCCAACCTTTTTTTCCCCGAAAAGGATATATTTGTGTCTATTTAAACAAAACTGTAAATCTTCCTTTCCATTCAGATCTCATGGTCTGGCACTTTGACTTTTTAGTCATTGCTTGCTTGATCTGGTGGGATTTTCTGTCGGCTATACAAACATTCTTCAAAAAGCAATTATTTGGTCCGTGGGTTACATTCGGGAGGTTACTGATATAATGCCGATGAGGCAAGGTTCGGGGTATCTTGGCAATGTTTTCCGGTATTTTCATATGTTCATGTTGAATTAAAATCTTAGATGTGCTACGACGTTTATCGAAATGGGTGAGGGAAACGTAAAAATTCAACCAGCGTAGCGTAAAACCAAACCGGGGCTTCAGAGATGGATTAATCCAAGAAAGTAAGAACGTTGGATACTCATTGAAAATATCATGCACGGTATCAGCGGCTCTAACCCGCTTCAAGGTGATCTTGCTTTTTGATTTCATACGGTCATCGGCATTGTACATAACATAGAACAACCACTACTACCCCTAGAAATATCCGGCGATCATCGAGAAACGCGCAATTACCCGATTTTGTGCACATTCACGCACAAAATCCAGGATTTTTCGCCCAAAGGCTTTATAACAACCACATGGTTCCTTGAAAGTAAAGCATTGATTGGGCTCGGAGAGATGGCTAACAAACATCACACTGACTGTTCAAATGATTAAACTTTATAGGTCAGCTGCTAAAAGTGCCGAGTCATCTGGTGAATCAAAGATATATTTAAGGATATGACATTTACACAAAACCGAGACAGATACTTAACAAGACCGACCCAAGTCGAACTAAGAGCAATTAGAAATCATGGCGAAGATACGACTTATTTTGGGTGTGATAACTTTACTATCTGCGATGGTTCATGCAGTGTCTACTGGAAATCATGAAATACATCATGCCAAAAGACAATCGTCGACAGACCGACTTGTCTTTGCACACTTTATGGTAAACATACGCTTAACTCCTTCCTTTGTGTGACACATACTGATTATCCGAAAAACTAAAGATTGGAATCGTTAGCAACAGAAAGAGCGCATCGGACTATGACGATGACATGAAGCGTGCTAAATCTCTGGGGATTGATGCATTTGCTTTGAACATTGGTGTAGACCCCTATACTGATCAACAACTCCAACTGGCATACGACTCGGCCGCCAACAATAACATGAAAGTCTTTCTGTCATTCGATTTCAACTGGTGGCACATTGACCAGGCCACGGCAGTTGGCCAGAAGATTGCCCAGTATGCTAGCAAGCCTGCACAACTTCTCGTTGACAACAAGGTGTTCGTTTCATCCTTCGCCGGGGATGGAATAGATGTTGCGGCATTGCGAGCTGCAGTTGGAAGATCGATCTTTTTCGCACCCAATTTCCACCCTGCTACTGGGACTGACATCTCGCCTGTTGATGGTCTGTTGAATTGGATGGCGTGGCCAAACAACGGAAACAACAAAGCTCCAACTCCAGGTCACGATGTCTCTGTTGCGGACGGAGATCGAGTATATGTCAACGCCCTTGGTGGAAAAGCTTATATTGCCCGTTAGTATTTCTGTTTCCATGGAAATTTAGTTTCTGACTATCAAGCAGCTGTATCCCCGTGGTTTTTCACACATTTCGGACCCGAGGTTTCTTATAGCAAGAATTGGAACTTCCCATCTGATCTCCTATGGTTTAACAGATGGAATGAGATCCTGGCGTTGAAACCACGATTTATCGAGATTGTGACATGGAATGACTATGGAGAGTCTCATTATATTGGTCCTTTGAACTCACCACATACTGACGATGGAGCGTCAAAATGGGTCAATGACATGTAAGAATATTCAAACACCCTTTTCAAAGCTCAAATCTCCATTTAAACCAACCCAACTAACGGATAATAACAGGCCCCATGATGGATGGCTGGACATTTCCAAACCATACATCGCTGCGTTCAAGGCAGGAGACTCATCTCCCAACAATCATATCTCATCTGACGAGTTGGTCTACTGGTATCGACCCGCACCACGTGGGGTGGACTGTGACTCTACAGATACTTGCATGGTACCAGCCAGCAATGGGAGTGGAAACTACTTCATGGGTCGTCCGGATGGCTGGCAGTCCATGGCCGATTCTGTCTTCGTTGTGTCATTACTTAAATCCCCAGCCACAGTGCAGGTCAACAGCGGCGGGACTGTCTATAATTACGACGCACCAGCAGGTGCAAGTGCAAAGGAGGTGCCGATGGGAGTTGGCGCACAAAGCTTCGCGGTCAGTCGCGATGGACAAACTATTCTGTCAGGGACCAGCTTGAAGGAGATTATTAACGGTTGCGTGTGTGGCTTGTATAACTTCAATGCCTATGGTAGGTGAAGATATTACCACTGGGCATGACCTCGCTTCTAACATTGATGGCTAGTCGGAACCCTTCCAGCAGGATTCCACGACCCCCTCCTTCAGGATGGGCTCTCTGCCTTCAAACAGGGCCTGCGTGATCAGACATGTCAACCAACTCCCTCATTAGGTACAGTGCCTCCAGCTCCTCCATCTTCAAGTTCGAGTAGTAGCTTCCCAAGTCCTCCCCCAAGTACGACAACACCCCCTGGAAAATGCTCTGCTACTCCTACCACTGTCGTGGTTACCGTTACAGTCACTCAGCCTCTGACTCCATCAGGTTCTTCCCCTCCAAGCCCAACTGGCGGTGGAAACGGTGGAGGTGGTGGAGGTGGTGGTAGGACCTGCATTGCCGGAACAGGATCCAACAACTACATTGGGCTGTGTGCCTTTTGTTGTAACTATGGTTATTGCCCACCTGGACCGTGCACTTGTACGCAGTACGGGAGTCCAGTCACGAGTCCGCCGTCAACTGGAGTTCATGGGGTGCCTCTTGTCGGCGAAGACGATTCGTATCTGGGTCTTTGCAGTTTTGCATGCGATCATGGCTATTGTCCCCCTACGGCCTGCAAAGTAGCTTGAGTACGACTTATACGAGGGCTGAGATGCAGTTCTCTCAATATATTATCGAGATGTGGATATGAAAGCATAACAGTACTTGTCATAGGCCAATGTACGTCCAAAGGTTCCAAAGGATATAGGTTTACCATGCCCTCAAACGGACTATGCAGTAAATTTCTAGGTCTTTTCAAATGGTCTTCAAGTCCAAATTAGCATTAAGCTCATTAAACTAGATTTGTAACAAATTATTTTGTGAATATTGGAACATTAAAAGGCAAGGAATGCCAGGTAAATAGAGGACCAGGCACAATCACTATAGCAAAGCTGCCAGAGCTTGAGCCGCGGCACAAGCTGGTAGAATACCAGTAGGAATTGACCTTCCAGCCACACCTGCCACGGACGTAGCGGCGATGGTGGTGGCAGCAGCAGCTATACCCGCCGCGGGGGTAGTGATCATGGTGGTAGCAGCCTGGCTACCGGTTAAACCTTCATTAGTGGTCCCGTTTGCCGTTGCCGCGACCGCGTCAGCAGTGGAAGTTATGGTAACCGGCAACAGCGTTATCTGGTCCCAACCGATGATTGAGGTGCTGGTGCCAGGCGTATTGATCCCTTTCCCGATAACAGTGTCTGTACAGGTATACGCGCCTGTCGGGAGATCGGTCATATCGCAGACAACATGGTCATATCTATAGAATTGATGAGTAATCTATGGCAACTTGTAGCAACGATTGAGGGTTGGGGTAAACGCACATGTTGTCGGATTCAGCACTTATCAAATATTCGACACTTGTTGGGGCAGCGGTCAAAAATAGGCCAGGGCCCATTCCACATTCTGTGCTATTGGTTTTTCCGACCGGGCAATTGATACTGTATGTAGTTGTTGCTGATTGCTATTCTGAATTAGTTGGGTATTTGTGCTTCGTTCCCACTGATACGAACCGCGGCCAAAACCTCACCCAACAAGGATTGAGGGTCGGCGTTTGGAATGAATAAAGACACGACGGGATAATCGACAGCAAGTCCCAGCGTTGCAAACGCCAGAAGAGGTTTCAGAATCATTATGTGCTGGTGTCTCTGTTTATATGGTGGTTGAATACAAAAGAAAAGATAGCTGGCAGGCACCGGATCATTTGGGGAGGTCAGGGGTCCTACATTAGAAGAATAAATTATCTCTCTCTTGGCGACTATCATCATCATTTTCTAAGCTTGTCGTGTTGTTACGGGATCTTCTTGCGGGTACTATTGTATATCAAGATGATGAAACTTGCATGTCATGCGGATCAGAGGCCGGCCATCATAATCCTCATCTTATCATTAACATTACAAATTGGCCCTTGAAGACAAGACGAAAATGAAAAAGAAGAAAAAGTCATATTATATCTTAGTGACTCGAATCGTGATCTTGCTTCATCTCTACTATGGTGAATGCGCTGCATGCTAAACTGAAAACACATTGATAACAGAAATGTCTACATGACCGTCATCATTACCACTCACGAATAGAACCATCTGGTCCATAGAACTCCTTGGGCTGCCAAGGCTCTGTCTCTTTGCTGATCTTCCGGACCAAGTCTTCGTCAATATCAATTCCCAAGCCGGGCTTAGACGGGGCAGCCACATATCCCTCCTTGATATCAAAGACCGTCTTATCCACCAAGTAGCTATTTAGGTCAATATCTCCTGCTTCAACATTGTAGTGCATGCCTAGAGACATCTCTTGGATGACAAAATTGGGTATCGACACGGCCACTTGGAGGGAAGCCGCCAAGGCGATCGGACCAAGAGGACAATGAGGTGCTATAGCAACATCGTAGGCCTCAGCCATGTTTGCGATACGCAGAGTTTCGGAGATACCTCCTGCGTGAGCAATATCTGGCTGTAGGATATCTACCGACGAATCCTCTAAGAACCTTTTAATATCCCATCTGGAGTATAAGCGCTCACCGAATGCGATGGGAATGGTAGTCTGCTCCGAAAGTTGCTTGATCGCTTCGGGATGCTCGCACAGCAGAGGCTCTTCGATAAATAGAGGGTGGTAAGGTTCCAGTGCCTTGGCCAGCTGCTTGGCCATAGGTCTGTGCAAGCGACCGTGGAAGTCCAGACCGGCATCAAGACCCAGAGCCTTCACCTGCTTCAATCGTTCCACGCAGGACTGTAAAACGGCGGGAGAGTCGAGCCAGTTCACATCTTCGGTAGCATTCATCTTGACGCACTTGAGGCCTTGGGCGATTCGTTCTTTCCTATTGAGAACCATCATTAGAATCTCGGTTTCTTTTTCTCTCGTTTGTTTTCTCGGAACTCACGCTGCTGCCTCAACATCACTTGGGCGATCACCTCCAATCCAGGCGTAAACTTGCACCTTCTGGCGCACCTTTCCACCCAGAAGCTCGTGGACTGGGACACCAAGCCTTCGGCCCTTCAGATCCCACAAAGCAATATCAATCCCCGATAGAGCTGACATGAATACCGGTCCACCCCGGTAGAATCCAAGCCGCCATACTGTCTGCCAAATATGTTGAATGTCACTGTCAAGGGTGGTTAGCACTTTCTCTGTGATGGAGAGCAATGGATTCAAGCATACTTTGCTTCATATCCCACAATGCGAGTGATAATTTCATCGAGTGCACCTTCGACTGCAAGGGAATGTCCTTCCAGCGTGCCTTCTCCCCAACCGAAGCGCCCCTCCTCATCGGTGACTTTAACAAACAGCCAACGGGGCTTGACACGGAAGTATTCGATGGACTTGATCTTGGCCATTGTGAGTTACGGAATGAAGTTCCCGAGAATTGTATGATCCCGAAGCTAGAGCAATAGAATTTGGGATGCAACCAAATTATATTTGAAGCTGGAGGTTCGCGACCTAACCCCACACCATGAACGCATCCCACGCGGGGTCTCGGGGGAAGTCCGGGCGGTTAAGCTGATTGCCGTCAGTTCCCCCACGTCGAGGGGGTGATGGGTTCAAAATATAAGCATCCTTTACTTTGATGTGTTGACTCGTGGGAAAACTATCGTTTCATAGGAAAGAATGGTGGACTATCATCTAAGTACGACATCTGCAGGATATTTCAAGGAGAATTATACATAGATCAAAATAGAGATCAAAAAAGATATAACAGAATCTCAATTGTAACTCCTCTAATGTAGTATTTCAATATTCCCCCACGAGTCTACCGTGCGCTTTCCCTTTTCGGTATACCTTCACTTTACCGTTCGTAGATGCGTTGTTTGAAGTATAGAATGCTAAGGACAATACCCGACCATTCTCCGAGGGGATTCAAGTCTCAAAAAGGCAATTCACCCCATCTGTTCCTTACAAAGTGCCGAATTAACCTGATTTGCTCGTCTACAGTTTGGGAGCGCCAGTTGCCTCCTCAGAATCCCAGGATTCAAGCAAGAGAGGCAGTGGGTCCAAAAAAACCCCGGAGAAATTGCCCCGTCTTGAGATCTGCGTATGGGGCTGTGAACCCCCACGCTCGGGTGGATTCTGGGGTTATCATTTTATGATGAGAATTTACCAGTTGCAGTTAACAATACAAAGTGATACGTAGCCATGAAACTCACTCGCCAGGAAATCAACCGACACAACAACCAGGAAACATGTTGGGTCGTAATCCATGGTGCTGTCTACGATGTGACAGGTAGGGGGCTCATAATCCTTGCAGGGGATGTGACACAGACTAGCTGACTTCTTTAGACTTCTTGGACTCCCACCCAGGGGGTGCAGCAGTGATTTTGCGATGTGCGGGTAAAGACGCGACTGAAGATTTCGACTCTGTTCATTCACTGGAGCTGTTGAGCGAAGCACTCCCTGAAACCGCACTGCAAGGCTACGTTGATCCTGCTGAATTGGGCGAGCCAAAATACAAGCCATATGCGATGGATGAGAAGCAATCGAAGCTAGACGATAACAGTCCTCCACCATTGCAAAGTCTGATCAATCTACATGATTTCGAAAGAATTGCTCATCAGAGGCTGTCTGCCACGACATGGGCCTATTACTCGTCCGGTGCCGATGACGAGATCAGCAAACTGAATAATGCCCTGGCATATCAAAAGATTTCCCTTCGTCCGCGTATCCTACGAAAGATTACAGCTGTAAACACAGCCACTGTGATCTTGGGGTACTCTACCACCTTACCCGTGTATATCTCTCCAGTTGGTCTTGCAAAACTTTCCCATCCAGAGGGCGAGTGCGCGCTCGCTGCTGCGGCTGGCAAAGAAGGACTGGTCCAAATTCTCGCAAATGGATCCAGCATGCCAATTGAACAAGTGATGAAGAGTCGTACATCACCAAAGCAGCCTATTTTCCAACAGCTATACGTTAATAAAGACATTCAAAAGTCTGTTGAGACTGTACGGCGAGCTGAACGAGCTGGCGCTAGTGCTATTTGGATTACCGTTGACTCCCCGGTGGTGGGAAAACGCGAGATGGACGAACGGCTCAACTTGACGGTGACGGTATGTATTCTGCAAGTGCTGCAGTATTTTAATTGCATTTACTAATATGCTTCAGGCTACTGATAATGGAGCGGAAGAAAAGGGTGTAGCCAAAATCATGGCTAGCTCAATATCTCCATTCATCGACTGGGAGATTCTCACATGGCTCCGCCAATTGACAGATCTCCCTATTGTCATCAAGGGAATTCAATGTGTGGAAGACGCCGTGCTTGCATATCAGCATGGTGTGCAAGGCATTGTACTCACAAACCACGGAGGACGCTCACAAGACACGTATGATATCCCCTGACCATGGCCCGTTCCCCACACCGATAGTGTGCTCACTTATACAACAGGGCACAGGCGCCTCTTTTAACACTACTGGAGATCCGAAAGTTCGCGCCTCATCTGATTGAGAGTAAAATGCAGATCTTTATTGATGGTGGCATTCGCCGAGGAACAGATGTGCTTAAGGCCATTGCGCTAGGAGCTACTGCTGTCGGATTGGGCAGACCCTTTTTATTCAGCTTGTCCGGATACGGCAAGGATGGGGTGCGTCGGATGATCGAGATTTTACGACAGGAGATCGAAACAAACATGGTCTTTCTGGGAGTGACCAGTCTCGAAGAGTTGAGGCCCGAAATGGTGAATACTAGTCGTCTGGAGAAACATGTGATAGGCAGCGTAAAGCTATAAGATTGGATCACTTCCTTATCCCTTTCGCTTCTAAAATGAATATAAAAATACCAAGATCAATATAGAATCGCTTAATTCCCCGCCAATCCTCCCCGGGGCCGTGAAGAGTCCACCCCCACGCGGCCATCCTCCGATGCGGGGAACCTTGGAAGTGAAGTGTGAAAAGGCATGCAATTCTGTGAATTTGGTATTCATTTGGTATTCATTTGGTCCTCACACAATGTCAGATCAAATTGATGTCCTTGTCTATGGGTTGGGAGCGTGAGTTCAGTGTCATTCACAAGAGGCATGTTATACTGACTTCTGTAGAATTGGCTCCTTCTATGCCTTCATCCTAAGTCGCTCCAACCGTGTACGACTAACAGTGGTAGCACGTTCAAACTATGAAGCTGTTCAAGCCAATGTGAGTATTACACTAGGAACCAGGCTATTCCAGAATTAATATCTTGGCTCCATAGGGAATTACCATCAATAGCGAGAATCACGGCCAGCATACTTTCCATCCACACCGAGGTATGTGAGATATGCACAACTTGAGACAAATTATTTTGCTAACAATGCAACTACGTAGTGGTGAAATCTGTCGCGGATATTCCACCCGTGGACTACATTGTGTGCGCTCACAAGGCAATCGACCAGGACGAGGTAGTAGCCAAACTACAGCCAGCCATCGACAGCAGGACTACCATTGTAATCATCCAGAATGGAGTTGGTAACGAGGAACCTTTCCGGAAGCAATTCCTTAACAACTCGATTATAACCTGTGTGGTGAGTTCCCTTAACATGGTCAATTTTACAATCTCATCTAACTTCCACAGACGTGGGTAGGAGCCACACAGACAAGCCCTGGGATTGTCACCCATACAAAATCTGAAGATATGCAAATTGGCCTATTTCCCAATGACAAAGTCGAAAGCCGAGTCGAGCAACAACGACTTGAAACATTCGCCGAGCTTCTCCGCAACGGCAAGACTCGGTTTCAGGTTCTTGGGGATATGCAAACCCAGCGTTGGGAGAAGGTGGTTTGGAACGTAGCATGGAACTCGTTGACCACTCTCACTATGGTGGATACACAAACGTGGTTGAAGTCTTCAGAAGACGCGACGCCTTTTACACGCCAGTTGATGCAGGAGGTCATTAACATCGCCCGTGGCTGTGGTGTCCCATTGAAGGACGACCTGATTGATCAGCTTATGGATAAAATAAATGCCATGCCTGGGATTGGGAGCAGCATGCAGACAGATTGCAAGAGTGGACGGCCAATGGAGATCGATGTTATCCTGGGTTTCCCAGTGCGAAAATCTCGAGAACTCGGCATTAAAGCCCCCTTTTTGGAGACACTCTACGTTCTTCTTCGGGCGGTTGATGGTCGACTTAGGGCTGCGCGGTAAAACAGGAAATGCGATATTTGATTTTGCTTTCGCTCGATGATATGAGGCTCGCCATAGATGCTAGATGAAACGAAGGGGGAATGTATTTCACAAATCGCACTAAAACTAGGTCATAGGTATTTGAATCGTCCGTAGTAGTCTAGCACACTCGAGACTAAGATCAGTCGTCCACTTTCCACGCAGGAGATGCGACCCGTAGCCCCATATACTATACCCTTTTTGTCTGGCTCGTTTGCTCGGCGTCGGGTTATAGAGAAAGTAGGACTCATGCAGGATAAGATGTTCGACATATCGTGATATATATGAATGTAAATTTCTTGCTTGTCAGAGATCTTTCCCATGCATGTGCCATACGAGACACAGTCTCTCCAAATCGGCGAACCTCATAAGAAAGGCGAGAGATGGGGGTATGCGAACAAGGCGCTGTAGCAAACATACACACGGTTGCGGATAGTTTTTACAATGTACCAATGCGACGTCCCCGCTCATGACGTCCAAAATGCGAGTGAACAAAGCTAGGGCCAGCTTGCCTGTCCAACTGTCTATCTCAGTGGGCTTGTCAAAGTCAAAAACGCCCATGTTTAAATGAATATATACCCTCGAAACATAGTATAGCATATGCAAATCGAAGAAAAGTCGTAGCACATAATGGCAGGGTCATCAGGTTGGAGGAGGAGGAGGAGGAGAAGGAGGAGGGGAGAGTGGACTTTGGATCTCCTGTAGCTGAATTGAGGTGGTCTTGTCCACCTCCACTTCTGAGGCTCCACCCAGGGAACCGGCAGGATTGATGTTCTCTGCTTCCTGGTCGACGGCAAACCGCCAGCGGTTATCAGCACCCATGAACATGCGGAAACCATAGCGTTTGTTCAGGGAGACAAGATGAGCACGCCGTTTGGCACTGCTCCAGGTATGTGTATCGGTGAAATCATGAAGCATTTGGCTGTGCGAAATCCAGGGAATGATGGCTCCAATGGAGCGCGGCATTCGGGGTCCACGGAACCGGCCGCGTCGTGTTCCGAACACTAAAAGCACAACTATCGTGTCGAAGACAATGATGGCTAGAGAAATAGCAAGTGATGGAGCCGACGGAACCATGCGCCAAGTGACGCGGGTAACGGTGGCATCTTTGGCCGGGAGCGGGTGAGCAAGAGGTTCCAGGTAAATATTGCGCCAAATTGAGAAGTATGTGCTGTAGACCAATCGATATACAGTGCCAGTCATGTTGGACAAAAGTATGGGGTCCAGGGCGTCAAAGTCGGGATCTACGTGTTGGTAGAGACGGGCAACAAGGAAGCCTGCCCAATCATAGGAAGAAATGTTGTACGTTCCATTCTGCACGGAAGTGTTGCCCACAAAGCTGCTAGGGATAGCTGCAAATACTTTGTTGAACTGACCGAGACTCACGGTTGCATTGTCGTACATGGTTCCATGAGTGATGGATGTATTGGGAATAGCGTCATACCAATCGATCTGCCCCTTCTCGTCGAAAGAGATAGAATAGGTTTGTAGTCTCGCCTCGGGTTCACAATGCAATGCAATTGTGTTGTCATCCGTGATCGGGGCGTTCGGCAAATAATCCCAACGCCCGACAACCAGAACGGTTGACGTCTGGCAGGTGTCCGAGTCCTCTGTGTCATCTGGAGACAAGAAGTGGATAGATAGCGAGATTCCTTCCTCTTTGCTCTTCAAGGGTGGCATGCGTGCCGTGCATTCCACGGAGGGATCGTCAAATAGTCCATACCGCCAATATGCATGACCATTAGCTTGATTATAGACAAGAGCATCCGATGGAAGGATTTGACACTCAAGCTTAGCTCCAACTCCAAGGGTTGAGGCGACGTAAGTCACGTCTGGATTGCGATTGGCCACGTGAAATGGGACAAAAGCCTGATCTGAGCTAGTCCAAGAGAGCGTAGAGGATCCGCTGCTGATGCTGCTCTGAATTAAATCATATTCAGTGAATTCTACAGCGAAGTCGGTCTGCCAAAATGTGGACTGGCTATAGTTCATTGACAAATCGCTGGTCGCCAATGTGGAGCTTGTCAATTCTTGAGTGAAAAGCGCACCCGCAACGACAGTCAACGCCATGTTAACGACGCAAGCAATTGATACAAGGCACAGCAACGGTTGCCGGTTGCGAAGTGTCTTGAAGAAAATGGCGAGCGGGCTTTGGGACGAGTAGTTAAGTGACAATGACGTCCTTGCCGAGGCATTGCCACGTTGCAAGTGGACCCAAGGCTCTAGGACGCTGAGGTTTCGGTGAATAGAGGTACATAAAGCTCCCACAGACGATGCGACGACGGAGGGTAGGAAGGAAAGGATAACCTGGAACGCGCTCGAGTCCGATTGGGTCATGTGGCTGAAGCGGCCGTTTCGAAGCAAGGATGCGACCACTAATACAATGAGGATAATCACCCCAGCTAGCGCCAAGAACTCAATAAGGAAGAAAGGAATTACGAGGAAGTGAGGCATGGGGTCAACTCGGGTTTTGAGGTTCTCGCCGAGCTGGACAGGGGAGCCTGGTGACATAGTCAGTTATAATTCTCAAGTATGAATGTAATTCGAAGGGTGGGGGTACGAACCATCTTCGGAGACAATATCTAGCCTGTTGCCAGAAGGGCCTGGTCGCCAGTAGCACCGCGCATTTTTGAAGATACGACGAAGTTGCCGAGTTGAGAATTGATGAAGTTCCGCCACTGGCTCTGCGAGGATGTTTGATGGGTGAAAAATATCGGCGACAATACTGCACATGGCACCAATGGACCCCGGGTCGCTTTGGAGAAACAGGTCACGCGAATTATACATGTAAAGGAGGTAAACTGTAGTCAAAGTGGCGAGGGCAAGAATGAGCTCGGACCAAAGGGCAGCAAAGTCAACGACAGCGATAGCGACTTGGTGCGACAAGCGCTCGGCGGGGAGGTCTTTAGGTAAGCTGTCCGGATCAAACATGCGGCCGAGGGTAAGCACGAAAGTCTGCTTGACGTCCCGCGTAATCCTGGATTCGAATTCAGCCTCTGTCATGATGGTCGAGGTGTCGAGTACCAGCAGAGGCTGGATATCTCCTAAATCCTGGCTGATGATAGGGAGTTCAGTCACTGCGCGAGCCCCCGTGGTAGCATTTTCACGGATGAAGAGCATGTCACTGGTAAACGGCGCGCGCTCAGAGAGCACAGCCTGGAAATGATCAACGTTGAACTCGGCTTTTGTCAGCTCGCGGGTGGTAGATCGATCAAGTTTGATAGATATTATGGAGCCGTTGGAGTGCATAGTCACGCGAGCCTCCGCTTGGTGATAAATGATGTCACAGGCAAAAGCAGTACCAGACGCGGAGTACTCGGTCCCGGTCTCGTTCGAGCTTGGACTGGTGATATTGACTCCGATGAGCATACCGTATAGATCATACGGATCGCAGCCAACTTCCGTGAAGGACTGAGTTCCGTCCGGAAATGCGTCCTTTGCTGCAGCACTGATCATCGGCTCCCAATACCGTATTTGCATGTAATCAGTTCCAGGGAAGAAGACACTGTCGTATTGAAAATCAAGGGCACACTTTTTGGCGCCTCCGTATGCATCATCCATATCGATACTACTGGCGTTCCAAGAAATTGTTGCTTGTGCCTCCTCGGGCTCATCGATAGAAACGGTGAGCATGTCCCCAATAAGAACATTCTCGCAAGAAAGATGTGCCCAATACAGCGTCTGGTCAACAGTCCACTGTATTCTGTCGTCTTGCTCGCTATTGGGTATCTCCACGGGCGCCAGGGCGTACTTGGCGGATCGGGACTGAGATATTAACTCATTTGAGGAAAACATGCCGTGAAGAACATCGCCTTGAATTGAGATCAAGTTCGCTTGTGTGTCCAAGTCTACCAGGTCGGCCCAGCATTGTATGGTACCTTGGTCAACTACCGTCACCTCGCGTAGCTCAAATACCGTACTCTGTAGAGCGGGAAGAATCATTCGGATCAAGAGCGTGACGAAGGAAACCCAGAACACTACCCAATGGCGGCGGATTACGGCATTGATCGGAGTGAGAATAGTTTGGCCAAAGTTGTAGTTGATGAAAAGAACGGTCGCCGGCGCTCCCTCGGGTCGGGACAACTGGAAATATGGTTCCAGGCGGAGGACATCGAAATCGGTCACGGTCCAAGCCAAGACGAGTATGAGGGAGATGATGATAGGGAGGTAATTGTAGGCAAAAGATTGTGCGTCGGTGACATCTTCTGTGTATGCAAAAAAGACCAATCCCCCTTTGTGATCGCTATATTGCCGCAACCCTTCCAGGGTCAACAGCATCGTTAACATCAAACATATAAGCGAGATCAGGTATGGCGGGCGCAGAGCCACTGGGCGCCAACCTCGCGGTTGAGAGCGGAATTTTGGCAAACGAAACGGGGCAAAACGACCTAACTCTCATCTCGATTAGCGTATTTTCGTATACTCCATGAGGTTTAACTGGCAATGCGAAAAGGGGGGAAGGGGGTCAGACGAGAACCACCACTCACCTGTAAGTCGAGCCCAGCGCCCTACCCCATCACTACCGGACATGCTGGATAAGGTCCCAAAGGCGGACAATGTACTTGATACAGTCGAAGGGCATTGCCAAATCAAGTTTCAACATTCAACAAGACTCTGATGCAAACACAACGGGCCATGATTCCACAAGGGGAGGGGGGGAAAGGCTAAGGTTCAAGGAAACAAAGGAAAAACAAATCACTAGTAAATCCAGACCGCAAAACCGGATGAAAAGATCGACCAGGCCAGAGCCAAGAACACGAGATGGATCTGGGACATGACGAAGGAGAAGGGGAGAATTGATTTTGTTGTGGCTGTGCCGTCTGTGCCGGTACCCGCACGTGGGGCGGAGCAATCTCAACAGGACCCCGATGGACTAAAAAGAACACGCCATGTGGAGTACTATTCCACATATATCGAAGGCTTTATTTACCTGAGAATCCTATTAAACTAGAATAGAATCCTTTCATGTGCAAAAAAATCTGGTGAGGCTTCAATTGATATTCTGGTACATTCTGGTTGCGATCTAGCAGTAATATGAAACATCAAAACAAATAGTTAACCCCTCAATTCAAACGAGTGACAATTAACGAGCAATAATTAACGAGTGACGATTTGAAACAATCTCTACAAAGCACCGATAGTTTCATACCTGAATGAATGTCAACTTCTGCTGTTGACATAACCGGTATTGTTATATGAGATGACCAGCATCCAGATCAGAGGGCGGTAGATGACGACGTGATACCGGACAAAGAAGCAGACCCGGAAGGAGAAGCAACACCAGAAGAGGAAGCGGCCACAGAAGAGGAAGCGAAAAGAGTGCTGAAAGGCTTAGGGAAGCGAGTTCCAAATGGAACGGTAGGAGTCGGAGTGCCAGTGGGGGTCAAGAGAGGAAGAGTCCCCTCGCCGCGCTTCTGGACACCAGCGGAGGCAATAGCACTGCCAATGGATTCGGCATCTTCCAGCAAGGATGGAAGATCTGTAGGAATCGACAGAGACTCGCCGCGCTTCTGAACGCCAGCACCGAGAGAAGCGAGGGCTGCAGCCACCGACTGAGCATCAGAAAGCAAAGAGGGGAGATCGGTAGGGATTGTCAGAGACTCGCCACGCTTCTGGGCTCCAGCGGAGGCAATAGCACTGCCAATGGACTGAGCATCTTCCAAAAGAGACGGAAGGTCTGTGGGAATGGAAAGCGACTCGCCGCGCTTCTGGATACCCGCGGATGCCAGCGCAGCCGCAACCGACTGGGCATCAGAAATCAACGAGGGAAGATCCGTAGGAATAGACAGAGACTCGCCACGCTTCTGGACATCAGCGGACGCAATAGCACTGCCAATAGACTGGGCATCTTCCAGCAAGGACGGAAGGTCTGTGGGGATCGACAGAGACTCGCCGCGCTTCTGAGCGCCAGCACCGAGAGAAGCGAGGGCTGCAGCCACCGACTGAGCATCAGAAGCCAGGGATGGAAGATCCGTCGGGATGGCGATGGCCCCTCCGCCCTTCACACCACTGCCGGTGGGAAGAGGCGAGTTGGTCGACAGATGAACAGGAGTCGACACAGCAGAAGAGTTGGATGCAATGTGAGTATCGTTAAAGAACGGGGCACCCACGGCAGAGCCGGAGAGAGCGAGAGCAAGGGCGGCAATTGAGGTTCTCATAGTGAAAATGGATTGGAAAGAAGTATTGGAAAAATTGAAGAGATGAAAGATTGTGGGTCAACGAAACTCGCACAGCGAGGGAAGTTTGTATGAAATAAAGATATTGTTGATATACAAAAAGGATTCCAGATCTGTTTGATGAAGAGAGTTAAACAGACGGATCTCAGGGATTTTATATCTTTCGTTGGCAGTAGCACACCATCGATTCTCCAGGCCAAATACATATGCAGCCACTGCCTGCGTCTGTATAAGGTGGGTCTGTTCCTCCATGCTTTTGTTCCTTATCTTGAGAACAACCATTCACTGGTCGAGAATGGAAGATCGCCAGATCTCGTCATCAGCTAGATCTATTGTCGAAGGATTCGCGATATCCAAGCCCTGGGTGATGAGCTTGATTGATGTTTCAAGTCGATCAATTGCCTGGGTCGGGGCCTGGATTCCGGGTGTCCTGAGGTATACCAATGGTACGCATAGGGCATAACCAACGGTAGCAAGAGCCTCAAAAATGTAAATTGCACGAGATTGCCGATCACCAGTTCATAATGTTGAGTTGATTCCAAGGTTGTATCTCGCATCTCCGCCAGATGTGCGAATCAGAGGCAGGTATCGAAGGTTGGGCATGCACGTGGGACTTCCAGGGTTCCAAAATTGGGACACATGATGGAACAGATAGACACATTTGGAATAAGCCCCGTGGATATGGGGAACTGTGTGTGGAGATATCATTGCCTAGTTTTCATATTTGGGAGGTTCAGTCAGCGAGCGGTTCGCAGTTCGCAGAAAATTGACGCGCCGATCCCACCACGTTTTCCATTATATGGGTAGGCCAACTCTGGTTGGAAGTTTAACAATTTGAGGATATTTGTATCCGTGGTCTCCATAGATCTGGTTAAGAATTTCTATGGTCTGGCCCATCTCCACTCTACCATATGTCGGTTGAATTTTCCGACTCATTTATCGGGCTCTGCACTGCCGATGGTCGGTACCGGCATGCCTAATCTACGGGCATACGGAGACCTATAGCCGCCATACTAGAGTTGAATTGGGCACATATTTGAGTACTCCGGATAAAAAAAGCTAATCATAAATTTTGAATTTTAGTTGGCTATTCTTTATCGTTATTAGACGGAGCACGGCGAAATATGTATGCTTTCATTAAGCCAGTTAGTGCGAACCCGAAATGTATAAAATAAGAGTATGCATACTTGGCTGTGTATGCGTATGCGGTATCTGTCTTCAAATTGATCTTCTAGATGTCCTCAAGATGATATAAGGTTATATGTAAGATAACACTCCAATCTCTCTTTTGAACGTCCTTTTTGGCCGGTTTTTTTAAATGTCGTTTTAAGGGTCTTTCTAGGGGATGTCTTCTTTGCAGTTTTACAGCTAGAAAAATAACAATCAGATATGATTGATAAAATAACTTCATTTAGAGTCATCTTCAACGGCGGCGCCGGATCTCTGAACTTTGGTAGACCAGCTCACCCTGGTCAGACCACTGAGCAAAATTAAATGAAATGAAAACGAGAATTTTTTTTTTTGAGCGAGATCAAGAGCACGCAAAATCCCTCCTAGCCACTAGATATACTGGCGAATGACATCCTCGATTGCGTTTTGCAGATCCTGGGTGTACTGTGCAACCTCCTGTTCCGCATTTTGAATGGTATGACCTCGACCGACTCCAGCTAGGACCTGTGCCCGGACCCGTCGAACTTCTGAGGTGTGGACAGCATTTCCAGAACTCAGGCGAGATCGTACTACTCGAACCGTTTCACGTACGCTTCTCCATGCCGCAATGTTATCGTTTGCAGCCTGGCGAGTATAGGTAGTGGTGGTGCGAATATCGGTAATCATTGCGTGCAGGCGAAGAAGCTCGAGAAGGAAAAGTTGACGGTCACTCGCCCGCTGGCGAACCAAGGCTTGGTTATCGAGAGAGGGCGCTGACTGATGAAAACTGGCGTGTGGGACGATGGGCCGTGGGTCTTGGCTACTTTGTTCAATGAACTGAGAGCATTGACGGGCATTCCCGCCCCAGTGGCAGTTAGCACACTCTTTTGGCCAACGGGGTGAGTCGATGACAACGCAGTAGGGGAATGGCCCCTCTTCTTGTTGACAGTGGGTGCATTCCTCCTCGGCCCGTCGTCCAACCATCTGCATGTAGATGCCTTCCGCGTTCGAAATACTGGACCCAACCAGCTTGTCAAAACTCTCAGCATTCCACTCGCTGCCAGTCCGTAGGGTAGGCTCACGGCGAGGCTCCATAGTCCGAAGGAATCCGAGAAAGTCTGATTTGATGAAGGTGCTCTTTCGCGCAGTGATCCATGGCAGGGTCTTTACATGGGCAGCCCATACGCCTGGTGCATGCTCATCCGGTCCCACGTGGGGATCAGATAAGGTAACAGGGTTATCGGGCACGGAGGAGGGTGGCAGAGTTGCGTGACTGAAAATGTTAGTGTAGCTCTCATGGTGCACAGTAGCTGAGGAGGGAGACCTACTTAGGCATGACTTCACAAGGTCAGTTCAGGACAACGCATGCAGCCCTTTGGATGAGATCAACTGGGTGATGTTTCGCGATCTGATGAATGATGGATGATCTGGTGTTTGGATGTGAGGATGGAGAAATGAAACGAGAGAAAACAAAGGGAAGGATATCTCATTAACAACAGCATAAAATACCTAGGTCAATTCTACCTATCGCCATTTGAGAAGTTTGCTAATATTCTCGCTTTCTGGTACTTGTCTAGGGTTCGATATGAATATCCTCATACACACATGTGTACTTGTTAGACTTGACTACCTCGATATGACTGCATGAAGCTCTATATAGAGGCTATCGATAATATATTTCCTTTCTTTGATTACATCTTACTCCGAGAGATGCAGCCGTGGCTATATCGTTCCCTAGACTACCTAGGTAGCAACTCAACCCCTGACGGGTTTGGTCCTAGGTACCCCTTTGTCATTTATAATGAGCCTATCCTATCTCAAATCGGCTCGGATAGGTCACCTTTAGGTGGCGTTTAGGGGATATTTGGATGATGTTTGAGGTGTATTTGGGAGCAGACTAGGGAAGACAAGTGGAGACTGGGAGAGAATTGGCGGATAATTAAGCACTATTTGATCGATGTTTGGGTGCTACTTGGGTATTAATTAGTGGATATTTGGGGGTTATATAGGGAACATTTATACCACTTCTCCGGTAAGTCTATATCTCCAGTGCTAAAGTATAGTAAATGCTATATCTAAGTAACGAGTCACCTAACCTGCAGCCCACGGGTTCAGCAATTGTACCCCTTCTAGTAATTCACATCATACGGTAGTCACTCCTTTTAAGTCGGAATACATACGATTACAGGTTCACACCTTCCGGCACTGAGTAAACCCTCGCTCTTTCCGGCATTGACGTCTTCAGGTCTCTCCATATCATATATATTCATTATCGCGCTTTTAGATCAAGTGATATACGATACTACCGTTACTCAAAGTTTTGGTTCTCGTCCGTCGTCGCGTGCTACCATTTACATCAAGTCGGCTTTGTTCGACGCGACGCAGATGCTAATATAGACATCTAAAACAGTTCATATTGAGCAATTAAAATGCGCCGATCTGCCTTTGAAGAAAAAAATAGAGAAACGGTTGTGTCTTTCTCGCTGTAAAGTTTGTAAAATAAGGTAGGTAGCGTGGTATAGCCGACGTTGGTAAAATGCTGTGGAGTTCTTGGTCTTGGCAGTCGGAGCTTTCCCCGAGAGCTCTCGCTCCAAGCACACGCTCCCCTCTTGTTACTCCTCACCTACCTCCAACCCCTGTCTTCCTCTCCTCAGCCATGGGTATCTTCAGCAAATTGATCAAGACAACCGTCGCGGGCAGCATTGCCTCGGTCGGTGTCTTCTGGGGCGCCACGCGCAATGACATTTTCGAGACCATGGACAACTCCGATCCCATCTTCCAATCGGCCTTTTTCAAAAAGTTCAACCCAAATAACAACCCAACTCTCCATGACGTCTGCGTTCGTCGGATTCCCCTAGACAAGATCCAGCCCTCACTGGTCGAGGAGAAGGGCAAATTGGTAGAAGCGTTCTGTGCCGGTGTCTGGGGTGGCATGGGTAAGTCCTATACTGAGGAAATCAGCCTTGTCACAATGCGACAAGCTCTAACACGTTTATTTTCTCTCCAGGATACATTCCCCAGCGTGCCATCCTTGAACGAAAGTACCGTGGCCCCGAGACTGCCGACCACCTCTGGGACCGATCGGACCTCCTCTCAAACAAATACGAAGTAGGAACCATCGTCACCGACCACTTTGAAGTCGTCGAGAAGACCGAAGATCGTATTGTCGTTCGCTGCGGTGACTCCCCACGCATCCGTGAGGTCCGTCCCTCCGACGGTCTCTTCGAAATCGCAGCTGTGGTCAAGCGGGATCAAGGTGTGGCTGAATTCAGCTTGAAGAGCTGTTTCTACCAGGGTCTCGGAAAGGCGGAAGGTGCGCCCATGGACGACAAGATTGCTTGGGCACACCGTCAGTACACTAAGTTGCTGCTGGAAACCGCTGTGCTGAAGAAGTGCATCAAGTAAGGTGAATTGAAGGACCTCTCAACCGCCGGGAGATGGAATTTGTCGGCATACAAATGATCCTAAATTTTCGGTTGGGACATGCCGTGTATATATTCCTAATCATGTATCCCTAATCGTGGTCTACGATCATCCGAATCTTGGCTCAATCCGAACAAGCTGATCTGCAGTGTCAATCTTCCAAGGTTTCTGTATTCTTCTACTTTACATATATCCTTCTTCGATGGCAAGGGTTCTTTACTTTCAGATAAATATGAGGTTGATATATAAAGAATCAAGACTTCGCTACCTCCCGGGACTCCTCCGTCTCTGGAAAGTCCTTCTCCTCCGCTGCTGGTGTTTCTTTATCACTAGTCAGAGTGATAGCCAGGACGGTTGGGATAGCGATAACCAAGGATCCCATGCAAAGGCCCCAGTTCATAGCGAATTGAGTCATTGCGGGCTTCCCCATGGCATTGATGCGCCACGCCATTGCACCACCAGTGCTCTGGAAGGTCTTGTACGCTCCAACCAGAACGGCAGCTGCGGCCGGGGAATTGGACTGGGCACCCACGAGCCAGTAGCAGAACGATTGCCACAACGCATCATATGCGCCATAAAAGATGTAGAGGAACATCGGACCCACTGAGATATCAGAATCCGTATAATCTATATCCTGCTTCAGGCCTTGCTCCAGACGGAGATCAGACCACACTTGGAACTTAAAACCACCACCCCAGATGACCATTCCAGTGACGAACAAGAATACCCAAGCGATGCGAGCACGATTGGGTCGGCTGACACCGGGGATGTCGAGAATGAGACCCATGACGAGACCACCCAGCATCTGCGCAATCCAATAAAGCGAACCGTTGAGCGAACGCGTCCGGATATTGAAGTTCATACCGTTCACAGCATTCTGCTGGTAGGAATAGAATACATTAGCAGAGAAGAAAAGGGGCAGCATACACAACACCCGCCAGTTGCAGATAGTCTGCAGGGAATGGCGAATGATTTGGCGGAAATTCTTCTCGCTCTCCGGTGTGACCTCCATCTGGGCAACTCTAACATATGATGGCGGGCAAATGAGCACTCCCAGCACCCATCCAAAGGCCATTATGGTAAGCAAGGCAATGTATGTTGCGTCGCTGACGGTTCCGCTCTTAGATTTAAAGTTGAGGCCGAAACTAGCCAGAGATCCGACGCCACCGCCGAGGTTGAAGATAATCCAGAAGGCTGCGATTGCACGACCTTTCTGGGACTCAGGCACATATGTTGTCATGATCGCACCCTGTGCCACCCACAAGAACGATGCGCCCACGCCGAGAATCGCACCTGAAGCAATCACGAATCCGCCGTTGCTGGTTGCTATTAGAGTATACATTAGCTATACATATAATATAATGTTATTTGGCAATTAAACATACCGTTGAAACACAGAAGACTCCCGGAATACAATGCGTATGTCCATCCTCCAAGCAAGAGACAAACCCTGGGTCCAACACGATCGAAGATAGGGCCGACAATGAAAAGAGCAGTTCCCGCAGTACAAGACAGAAGAGCTACACTCGCATTTGCAGCGACGGTCTGGTCAACTTGACCGGAGCCTCCAAGACCGCTGAGGGCATTGTACATCTAATACTATTGTTAGTTCACTTGGATTTGAATAATAGCATTCTGCTTTGCCAAACTTACTCCCGGACAGCAGAAGCAGATGAAACTGATCAAGATGATCTGGAACCAAGAATCCGTCCAGATCTTGTACAAAGTCGAGCGAGTTTCATTTTGCTCAGTGCCTGCGGTGACACGCCCTTCTTCGACTGTTTCATTCGACATCTTGTGCAGGTTGAAACCAAATGTCCCGGGAAATGGCCGAGGTCTTATGTTGGAAACTTCCAGCATTGCCGATATTTCCCTTTACCGGACTACAGTGGGCCAGCTTATTGAGTCTGGGGCCCCACGCGATACGGGGCTTGGGTTGCATGCGAGGAGGTGTTATCGATGCATATCATACATACATGAGGTATGGGTATCTTCAGGGTATCTTCTGTGAAGTAGTAGCAAAAGTGGAGCAACTTCATTGTCTTTAGATTGAATTGTATAGTGCAATTCCTTATCACACGAGCTTTTGCTTTCTCGGCCGACGAATCCTAAGGGAGATAACACTACTATCCTGCACATCGGCTCCATCCGACTCCATTATGGGAAAAGTCTGGAGAAGAAATGAAGATCCACTCTAGTCGCTGCTAACCGGCCCAATCCCACACGATCAACGTCCCTTCATTGCAACTCTACCTTGTAACGGCCCCCATCTGATCTGACCCCTCACCTTACGTACAGAAATCTGTCAGGTTGCCAGCATCGGCATCGACCTCGGGAAATGGGGCGATATTAGGCACTTGGCTTGCATAGCGCCAACGAGAAATGGATCCACCTTCGTCTCCCCGATTGTGTAAAAGGCCTCCTTATCGCCTTGTTTCTGCATTGTCTGACCCGTGATTCGTGATAAATATCCTGACAAGAAACAGCGTCAAGCTTGTCGTACTTCCAGTGATCAACCAAGACACCCTGCATAATGGATCTCGGGAGTCTATCTCAACTCCAAACGGAGGGGGTCAATCCTCGAACTGTACATATTGATCGAATGTCGACTCTTGACATGTGCACCGTGATCAATGCCGACGACCAAAAAGTTCCCGAGAGTGTTGTTCCTAGCTTGCCCGTCATTGCAGGAGCCATTGACGCATTGACCCCGCGAGTTCGACAAGGCGGGCGGGTGATTTATGTCGGTGCTGGCACCAGTGGAAGGTTAGTCGCGTAGATATTAGTCCCTTGCTTATCAAACAAAAGTTAAACACCGAATTTTAGGCTTGGAATCTTGGATGCATCAGAAATTCCCCCGACCTTCGCTGCCCCACGCGGGCAGTTCGTCGGTCTGATTGCTGGTGGAGATGCCGCAATCCGAGAGGCTCAGGAGGGAGCCGAGGATGATGAAAAAGCCGGCGAGGATGAGATGAAATCTCTCAATCTGAACCCAGAGCTTGATAGTATCATTGGAATTGCAAGCTCGGGCCGCACACCTTATGTGCTTGGTTGTCTTGCTTTCGCTAAACGTCTCGGCTGTGTGACCATCGCGGTCGTTTGTACAGTTCCTTCGGCGATTAGCCTTTCAGGAAATGTGGACTTTGTCATCTCACCTGTGTCTGGGCCTGAAGTTGTCACTGGTAGCACCCGTCTCAAGGCCGGTACCGTCACAAAACTAGTGTTGAATATGCTAAGTACCGGTACTATGATTCGCACAGGAAAGACTTACGGAAACATGGTATGGTCCTAATTTTCCCCTGACTGTTGTACTCTGGCTAATGCTAAGGTTCAAGATGGTGGATCTCGTCGCCTCAAATTTAAAATTAGTGCAAAGATCCCGTAATATTCTGCGGAGGTTGAGTGGAAAGTGCCAATCCTCGTCCAACACTGAATTGGACGCCCTGCTCGCAAGATGCAATGCCAGTGTCAAGCTGGCTATCCTAGTTGCAGAGACCGGGGAGTCGGTCGAGACTTGTCAGGGATACTTTGACGCTGCGGGTGGGGTGTTGGCCAACGCCCTAGCTGCGGTTTCTAAACCCATCGAACAGAAGCCCACAAGTACGCCCACTCAAAAGTTTGTATTGTGTATTGATGGCGGCGGTACCAAGTGCGCTGCTGTTGTAGCTGATGGCATCAACGTCGTGGGCCAGGGCTTTGCAGGTCCATGCAATTTGTATGATCTCTTCTTGTTCTGGTTTTTGTCCGGTGTGGATCGTGAAGCTGACCTTTTCTAGAACTGACAGCATTGGAAACATAGACGGAGTCATTGCCACGTTACTTGACGCTACAAAAGCTGCTCTGAAAGATGCCCTACCAAGCGACGTGGAACAAACAGAGTCTTCGTGGAAGGAACGTCTTCAAGCCTCCTTTAGCTCTGTCTGGGTCGGACTAGCTGGTATTGACCGAGCTGGGCTGGAGGGAGTGTTAGCACCCAAGCTGCGACAAGCTTTCGGAATCACTCAAGAGAAGGACCTGCAATTGACAAACGACGTAGATCTTTTGACTGCAGGTGTTCCACAATCCCTCGGTACACCCTCCGTCCTGGTGGTGATTGCAGGCACAGGTAGTGTTGCTATGAGATACAAATGGGCCGAGGATCAACAAAGATACACTCGTTCTGCCCGTTCTGGAGGCTGGGGTCACATGCTCGGTGACCAGGGTGGTGGCTACACAATTGGTCTGAAAGCCATCCAACACACACTGGGAGTCTTCGAGGATATCACATTGGGGCTTGATAAGACTGGAGGCGATGAATTTTCCAAGGCGGTTGCGGAGAAACTGGGGTGTCAAGTCTCCGAAAGTACCAGTATCGACATGTTGAACAATATTCTGGGCCAGACCCACTCTCAAGGTGTGAAGGCACGCATTGCTAGCATTGCGCCGGTTGTTCTCAACTTTATGAATAAAAGTGAGACCGCAACAGATATTGTGAGCTCTCAGGTAGCTTTGCTTGTTGGCGAGGCTCTTGGTCGCTTGGTGAAGCCGCAAGCCACTGGCTATCAGCCACCTGAGGCCTCTGTGTTGGTGCTGGCAGGAGGATTGATGAAGAACGAGAGGTACAGGGCCACATTTGAGAAGCAGCTGGACACACACAGATTGTATTTCAGAGGGACTGTAGTCGTTGAAGACGTAGCCCGCTCAGGGGCCACATACTTGTGTCGTTAAGTCCTGTAGAGCTGCTCCTTCTAAAATAAATAGACTTCTCCATGTAATCCATCTTCTTCTCTCTTTCTTTTCTCTGCTCAAATCATCTACATAATTCGTCTTCCATCTTTTTGAAATTCAAATACCCAACCTGCTCAAATTTCGCTATCTGTTCTATTTCAACATTGGAACTGCTTCAATCACCGACTCCATCGCCGGACTCTGGTTCCAAATCCCCGTGATCTCCAGCCCGGCACTATGCAGGAGGTCCCTCCACTGTCGCTCCGACCGTTCGATACCAGCTCCTATACTCATCATCTGAATATCCAATGAAGCCTGCATCAGGGGCGTATCGGTATCTGGCAGGACGAAGTCCACAATGAGAATTCGAGAATAGTCCGGCGCCATCGCTTGCACCGTGTTCCGGAGGATCCTCCGACTGATTTGGTCATCCCAGTCATGGAAGATGGAACGGAAGTAGTACGCACGGGCACCTTTGACGGGTTGAGCATCCATAAAATTGTATCCCATCACTTCCAGTCCAGCACTCTCTCCATCAACGCCCTCAATCACGTTTGGTAAGTCTTGAAGCACCATTCTTCCAGGCAGATGACCATATTCGCAGCGGAATTTACCCAAATCGTGCCCCTGGTTGCCACCAATGTCTACCAGAAAGACTGTATCTTTGTATGGCACGGCATGACCAAACAGTCGCTCGGCCGGGTATATATCGTACCACATCGGCTTGCCATCGCGACGGCTAGCCATGTACGAGTTGAAGAGCTCCTGCTGCTTCGCATGACTCGAAAGCCACTCAAACTGACTCTGTCCAACAGCCCATTTCATAGGCGACTGAGTATAATCCTGGGGATTAGCATAGCCATGCGAGCGCAGGTACTCTGGAAGCTTGCTCAAGGTTGGAAAGGTAAGATCATATCTAAACGAGGTTCAGTGAGTAATGGCAGGAAAAAATGCAAGGGTCCAAGCCACCATCACCAACATACATGCATGGGATTCCATCTCTCCCGATCGGCTGAGTCAGTGCCACTGTCTTGTCATTGGCAACATAAACCTCGGGGTTCGGTGTGATACACAGCCCAAGAGAAGCCATAACGCGCATCAGACGGACTAGTTCACACTGTTAGACGATCCACAATGTGTGACAAACTATTGTTGCTGCAGGAAAAGGTACCAATTAGATCTTTCTCGGCGCCCGTGTACTCTGCCAGCTGAGCGGCTGACAATCCCGCTCCTCTGTGTTGCTTCTCCACAAGCATGGCGAAAATGCCCAAATCAATGACAACGCGCAATGCGGCATTTTGAGGAGGCTTGAATCTAGTCAGAATACAAACTCGATTTGGGTCCGTGGAACAATTTACCTGGTAAATCAGACGCAGCACAGTTTCCGTCGGCGTTTCCACTGCAGATCTGAGCTGGTCGATCATTCGCAATAGCTCAAAGTGGGCTTGTGGAGATGGATCCGAGGCTTCTTTCGAGGCCATTTGGCCGAGACGATTGACCAAACAATGGAAGGGTGTAGTGATTGTCATTGTTACTGTTCAAGAAAAAGAAACACCGATACTTAGTGTGGAATTGTCTGCTTCGAGTAGCACAAGCTAGGATGAGGGAACTATTTGACTGGATCTCGATTGCATCTTATAGTCCCCGGTGCCCCCCTCGGTGACAGTGACATCGGACAAGGTCATCGGCGTTCAATCCATTCCTACAACATACGAATGCAATCTAGGTAAGCTGACCCCGAAAACAGCTGAAACCCGGGGCATATCGTCTCTAGATACCCCACTATTCAATCATTCTCGGCCCGTCGTGTGAATATTCCGCATTTGAGAGAGAAGTTAACCCGATTGAGATGATCAAGTGCGTACATACCTGCCCTACGGTGTACGATTTGAATCCGGACCATCTGTGAGTGGTGGACTTTCTGTGCTCACACCCACATTGGAATTTACTTTTTCCTTAAAAAGGAAACCACCGAAATACAGGATCAACACGGAAGCAGAAATCTCATGTTAATGTGAGATTGTGATTCATGCTATAAAGAGTGTGATAGAGATCACTAGTTGCTGCTAGTTCCAGGTCGATCTCCAACCCCATTTTAACGATGCATTCTCTTCCAAATGCCCTCAAGTCCGAAGTTGACTCGCCATGGAAGCCAGCTATTGCAACAGTTAGTTTGGGAGCTGCGAATTTACACACCATCATCGCCAAACTTGATGCTGTCGCCCTCAATGGACAACGAGGACTCGAACTTTTTCATGATGATATAGCGCAGCTCGCCAAGACCCTTCGTGCTCATGCAACTGACAGTGAACCCCGCACTGATCGAGACTACGAGATCGACGCAGCGCGCGCTATCCGAGATCTATCTGCTGAGCGTGATCTGCAGGTTGTCGCTCTCCAACCTTTCCGACACTACGAAGGTCTCATTGATCCAGAACGACATGCAGAACGCATCGACGAACTCAAGCACTGGGTGCAATTATGCAAGATTCTTGGTGAATCACTATTCATCCTGATCCCATCATCTTTCCTTGACGCCTCGGAGATCACCTCCGACCGCGAGCGTCTCGCAGCTGACCTGGCCGAGGCCGCAGATGTAGCATTCCCCGTGCGCATCGCATACGAAGCCCTGGCATGGGGAACGTACATCAACACCTGGGAAGACTCATGGGACATAATCAAGCGAGCCAATCGACCCAATCTCGGCATCTGTCTTGATACATTCAACATAGCAGCGCGAGTGTGGGCCGATCCCACCGCCGCAACAGGACGACTTGGCCCAAGCGCAGACCGAGATCTGCGGGAGTCGATGGATCGGCTTGTACGGGAGATTGATCCGGACCGAGTGCTGATGGTTCAACTTGCCGACGGCGAGCGGGTCGACCCACAAACGCCCTTTCTTCAAGCACCAGGCCTACCAACTCTGTTAGCCTGGTCGCGGAATGCGCGTCTGTTTCCGTATGAAGAGAATCGGGGCGGATACCTTCCGATTCGCGAGGTGACGGATGCCTGCATCAACGGTTTGGGTTATACCGGGTGGGTCAGTATGGAGGTCTTCTCGAGATCCACAGGGGAAGATAATCCGGCCGTACCGATGGAGCATGCTGCCCGTGCTGGTCGGTCCTGGCTGCGGGTTTTGGAATTGTTGGAAGAGAAGTCGGAGAAGGGATCCATCTAGGTATTGGGTCCCTTGATGATCAGCGCATTTTGTTTCAGTCGGTGCTATTCTACATTTTTAGGTCCATGAAAGGAAGTCAGAGTGTATTCAACCAATACACAGGAATGATAGTCTTGATAATAAAATAGGCCAGTGTCTTGCAATCTCCTTTTAGAAATCCCTGTCCAGAATTGTAGCCCGGTTCTTAATGTCGATAAATTGCAGTCATGCTCAATGCCTACACACATACCATCCTGAGCTCCCTATGATCCAAGTGTTTTAGATCCCAGGGATTTTCAATCTAAATGAAGAAGCCACTAACTGCTTACAGATATATGAGGATTGCTATACTGAACCGGACTATCGGGTACATCTCCTTCTAACGGAACGCCACAGGGTCTTCCCCAGCATGAATGCCTATGCCTGTATTCTGAGACAAGAATATAAAAATAAAGTTGGAATGATCAGCGTAGACCGATCGAACGGGTCAGCATTCTTGAGAAGACTCCAGGAATGGTTCCCGAGGACGCTTATACACCTATAACCAAATCGAGATTAGAGCTCCACAGGGCATTCCTGGCTTTTCGGATGCTTCTCCCGGCCCGCTCCCGATCCAATTATTGGAGTGGAGTCCCCATACCAGCCCTGGAGATGACTTCAAAGGTTGCTGGAAAATACAATAATGTTTGACATGAGCCTCAATGATTTGGAATATTATCTAAGTGACTTCTTTCAAGATAGTGGCTCCTCATTGCGTCAGTCCCCTGTCATCCCCTTAGCTAGGGGTGGAAATGGACATCTACAACATACGCTTTCAAGTGAGACATCGCTGAGCCTGGCCCTTCTCTCCTTTACTGTCTGGAATGGTCTTGGTCCAATTTAGCACCGGTAGAATAGTAAGCCTGGTTGTATGTTACGATGAAGTAGTTCAACAACGTTGGAAGATATTTAATGGCCAATGAAACACAGAGCCGACACTTCATCGGGGAATATCTGAACACAGCGCTTTGTGTAGCCTTTATTTATGACATCCAAGCTGTTCCAGACTGAAGGTTGATGTTTACCGCCGTGCTCAGTTACACTTATTTTCATGAGTGGTTTCAGAGTCACAACGCAGGATCTAGAGCTAGCAATATGCATTGATATGATGTTACAACTAATCATTTCCTTTAAACTCGATCGGAAAAGTTCCTGATCCATCCGGTGACAGGTAGAGATCCTTTTGATCTTTCCAACGGGGTTTTCATCCCAACTGAGGCGGATGTGTCTCGGGCAGCTCTGCAGTGTAACGAATGCCGCTGGTCGCGATAGAAATTGCACTCCGATGATGGAGAATGCAGAATGCATGCATTTGGTTCTAGACAGGGGGATTATTCCCCAAAGTTGGAATTTGGCCACTAGCGAGGTAGCTAGTTAGTAGCCTGAGCCACAATAGATGGAGTAGACCAATCTCGACGTTAACAGAACGCCACCGTTGGATCTCGGCGAATGGAATCTCTGGTTTCAAGCTGAGTGTTTGCTAGTGACACAAACGAATCGCTCGGCGAGTCAGTCCTTGTGCATTGAAATTATGCTGTGGTACATGGAGTGTGTGCATATGACTGTTCCCGAGATAATATTTCCTCAAATCCCAACTATTCAATATGCGCCTTGATGACTTGTGTTGGCATATGCATAACTATCACAGCATGGGAGCTGATCCTTTCTGTTTGCTACTGGGCTGATCCCGTGTGATATGTATATCTCTCCCGATGCAGAAGGACTCTCTTTTACCGGGCATCCCGAATGCAGTCAGTATAGCCTAATCTGGGAATATGGGTTTGGGAAGCGGTCTAAACGTGCTACAGTCCCTTAAATACGGCATGATCCTCAATATTGCACTGGAATCACCAAGCTGTTGTGACACCTTTCCTCTCATTCTAGAATACTTCTGTACTCATAATGGGCATCCAACGTGGAATCCAGGCAGCACAGGCTAGTCCCTCCAGCACCATCAACCCATTGGTGCAGGAGTTTGGATCGCTTCAAGTACTTGACGACTTGATTCGCTTACGAGCCGCTGATGTCGTTCAATACCCTATTCTTGCCTATCCCCGTTTCGACAACGATGCAGCTTCCTACGAATACTACACAGGAAAACACTTGGACGCTATGATAAACCAAGCTGTCATCAGGCTTATGGATGATGGGTTCAAACAGGTTTGTCATGAATTATACCACATAGTATCAACTATCTAACGAAATCAATGGTTAGGCAACGCAAAGTCCATCCATCATGGCCCTTCTTACTTTGTCGGACCTGAACATGGTCATCACGTTTTTTGCCCTAAGTCGACTAGGCTATACTGTCATGATGCTCTCCCCGAGACTCTCGGGTGAAGCCTGCGTGTCATTGCTGGAAACAGTCAACTGCGAGTCAATCATATATGGTCAATCTCCCAATATCCGGTCAACACTGGGCGAGATTCTTCGCCGGAGACTAGTAACCTGCCGACCAATGCTCTCATGCTCCTTATACAACAAACTAGAATCACCATCGCCTGCTCTGCATCGCAATCGGAACCCCGAAATGGTCGCATTGATTCTCCATTCCTCCGGATCAACGGGCACTCCGAAACCGCTCTTCCTCACACACAAAGCTATCATGACTCACCCACTGAGAGGCCCTGGGTTCACTTCCTTCAACACCTTGCCATGGTATCACCTCCATGGGCTGTCCACCGCATTGCAGGCAATGTGGATGAGAAAGACAGCCTATATGTGGAATGCTGCGCTGCCTTTGACTGCAGAATTTGTCGCTACAGCCCTCGAAGAAGCCAGACCAGAGTCAGTGGCAGCGGTTCCATATATGCTCCAAATTTTGATCGATGATCCCCGCGGTATCACGGCGCTAAGACAATGCAAGTTGGTCACTTATGGGGGTGCACCTTGTCCAGACGAACTGGGCGATCGCCTAGTAAGTGAAGGTGTACACTTTGGAGGCTCATTTGGCCTGTAAGTATCATTCTTCAAATATCTTTAGCCTAGCAAAGACTAACAAATTCCAGCACCGAGGCTGGCCTTGTTGCAGAATCAATCTCACGACCAAAAGGTGACCCTTATTGGAACTATCTGAAATTCTTTGACAATATCCGATCATATGTCTGGATGAAGCCCATTTCCGAGCCAGAATCGCTCTTCGAGTGTGTTTATCTTGCTGGTCATCCAGCATTAACGACCTCGAATTCAAACGAGCCGCCAGGATCCTTCCATTCGAAAGACGTGTTCATCCCTCATCCTACAATAGCGGGAAGATGGAAATACATCTCACGATTGGATGATCGAATCAATCTAGTAAATGGTGAAAAGGTTCTCCCACTCCCGATTGAAGGTCACATCAAACAACACCCTTTTATTCATGATGCGGTTGTCCTCGGAGTAGGAAAAGCTGCTCCAGGACTATTGGTCTTGCGAGCGGATGAACCTGAAGTCAACCGTCTCTCAGACGACAAATATCTCAATTTAATCTGGCCCACAATCCAAGAAGCCAATTCTCAGGCAGAGTCTTTCTCTCAAATCTCCCGCAATCTAGTTGCTATATTGCCATATGACGCTAAATTTGCTCGAACGGACAAAGGGTCTATGATCCGAGCACAGGTCTATCAAGAATACAGTGAACTCATTGAAGGTCTTTACGCCGAGAAGCAACAAACCTGTGGGAATCTTCAGCTTGATGTTGTGGAGACAGAACGCGTTCTTCTTCAGATATCCGACCAAGAACTTGGGATACCCGTCTCTAGTGTCGATGCCAATTTCTTCTCTGAGGGCGTTGATAGTCTCAAGGCAATACACTTCCGACGTCTCATCCTTCGGCATTTCAAATTTGACATTAGCCAGACTCCTGGCCCGAATGTCATATTCGAAGCGGGTTGTATATCACAGTTGGCTCGACATATCTGTTCTTTACAAAAGGGGGAGCCATTGGAAGATGTCGAGAGTGAAGTATCTGTGATGACTGAATTGATCGAGAAGTACTCCGCGTTTGAGAGGCACATACCACAACCACATGCTTTCTCAGGGCCAAACAGTGTGGTGAGTGACTATCTCGCCGTCAGAGTTCAGTTCCACAGCTAACATATCCAAGCTTTTAACAGGAGCCACTGGGTCAATCGGAGCCCATGTCTTGTACGACCTACTAAATGACGACTCCATCTCTACAGTGTACTGTCTCACGCGACGAGAAGCACCACTGAAGGCAATATTACGCACTTTAGCCGACAAAGATCTTTTCATATCCCCCGAACAGAAAACAAAGATCATCGCCTTCAACAGCCGCATCGACCAACCCAATTTTGGTCTATCTCTAGATGAAAGTACAGCTAGACACATGATCGACTCGGTCTCGCTCATTATTCACACAGCATGGCCCGTCAACTTCAATATCCCCCTGACCGAGTTCGAGCCACACATCCAGGGACTATACAATCTAATCCAATTCTCCCTATCAGTGCAGAGACGCGAGCCTGCCGTGATGATGTTCTGCTCATCCGTCTCCACCGCGCTCGGATCTCACTCAGTCGAGATCCCCGAAGAACCCGTCGACTTGGATTGCGCCTTTATGGGCTACGGGCAGTCCAAGTTGATTGGGGAGCGGATTGTGAGTAACGCGCGACGCAGTGGGGCAAATGCCTATTCTCTTCGAATTGGCCAGGTCTCAGGTCACTCGAAGAAGGGTCTTTGGAATGACTCCGAGGCTCTGCCATTGATGATCCGGTCGGCGCTGACGCTTGGAGCACTACCTAAATTATCGCAGACGTGTTCTTGGCTCCCGGTGGATAAGCTTGCGTCTACTATTCTTGAACTAGCCAGAACCTGTGTTACGCCGAGTGTGCCTGGGGATAGTCAGGCGTCCAGCTCGGCTGCGGTGGAGTATGTTGATGACTCGATTTTCAATTTGTGTAATTCTCGCGAGTTCACCTGGTCATGTTTGCTTCATACGCTGAAGAATTGCGGGTTCCGATTTGATGTCGTGTCTTTTGAAGAGTGGTTGCTGAGACTTCGTCGGAGTGAGACAAGGGGGGAGGAACTTGTCAATCCGGCGGTCAAGCTCATTCATCATTACGAGACGATGCATGGGAAAGAATCATCTTTAATGCCGACTGGGCCAAAAAGGTTTATTACAGAGAAAGCAGAGAGGAGTAGTGTGACTTTGCGAGATGGTCGATTGAGAATTATCGAGGATGGAATCCTGAGATGCTATGCTAAGGATTGGTTGGCGAGGTGGACGATGGTCTAGGGAGTGAAAGGTTTGAATTTGGGCGAAAAGGTGTGGAGTTTCGGGATAAAGGGTTGCTGTATGTATGGAACACGAGAGAATATATCAATATTTCGAGGAAATAATTCTTCATTAACTAGTTATTCTTCCTTTTGTGTGTAGTGAGCAAGAAAAGGTAAGATGACGCCGTGGGAGGCAAAACACAGACTGAATACAGACTGAATCCAAACAAAACCAAGCAGTCTACGGCCATCTCTAGGGCCCGCTGTACAATTAACCAAATAAAATCCACCGCCAAATTTAGACCAGTTTCAAACCCAATCTATCACTGAAATCTAAGCCAAAAAGGCAACAATGACTCCAAAGAAGAGAGCGGAGATGCTCATGGACAGTCGATCAGCGGCACCGGTAAAGACAGGGCTGGCTCCAGATTCAGAGCCGGTAGGAACATAGAAGCTAGTTGTAGCCGATGTTGTCTGCTTCGGCGAGGCATCAGTAGTGGCAGAGTTCAGTGCTTTGGAGGCCTCGTAAGGAACGTCGGAAACAACAGCCGAGGGAAGCACAGAAGGGTGCGCCCATGAACCACCAAAGGTCTCAGCAGGGACAGAGGTGTGTTCAGCTGCAACGGGCGTAGAGGCGGGAACAGGTGCAGACTTCGACTTGGTGTAGCCGTGACCAGCTGGGACGGATGCGAGGCCGGAGGTAGGGGCCACAGGAGGCGCAGATGTCCGTGCCTCCGGATCCTTGCCGTGGGCAGGGGTTTGAACAGATTGCACTGCTGGAACGGGGACCGTTGTTGCCACAGAGTGAGCGGCAATAGCGGAGGACTTTTCGGCCTCGGGGCAGTAGGTCTCGGTTGCAGTGACTATGGAGGTGATTGTCCGAGTCTTCTTGCCGGTGGCAGAGCTTTCGGCAGTAGCTGCAACAGTAGAGACAGACGCAGTCGTCAGTTCCTGAACAGCTCCAGCGGTTTGGCTTTCTTTGGAAGCAGCTGAGTGCACAACGGTAGCAGTTTGAGTAGCGTGGGTCTCAACAGTTGTCTGGGAAACCACAGGAGCAGCGGCAGTCGTGGTCGGCTTGGACTCGGATGATGAGACTGAGGCAATTCCCTTCACACCAGCTTGGTAGATCTTAACGGAGTTGATTTCCCAGTAAGTTTCCTTGAACTGAGTGGGGTTGTTGGCGACGTAGTTGTGGCAGCTCTGGAAGGAATCGCTGTCGGTCATGGGGCAACCTGAGCCACCATACACACCACCTGCCCAGTCTCCGCAGAAAGTGACATCAAAGATAAACGACTGGGACTTGAAAGCGTTGGCAACGTCGCACGACTCCTCAACCAGTGCCATCGGAGTACCAAATTCAGTTACATCGGGCTTGCCGCTAGTAATCGAGGCCGGGATCGCGCTTCGGGGGAAGAACCAAATCTTGAGGAACTTGTCGGTCCACTGCAGCGAATACACACCACCCTGCTGTTTGTTGAATGATGTGCCATAGCTGCCCTCTTGGCCCTCAATCTTGCAACCGACGGTGCCTAGATCCTCACCGCACCCTGTAGCGTTCACCGAACCGGTCATACCTGTATCTGTCAAACTGCAAGTGCCGGCTGTGTGCATGACGATTTCGTTGTGATCCTGCAAGTTGACACCTTCGATGATATCAATCTCACCGTCCGCGGGCCAATTCTTTCCGACAGACCAGAAGGCAGGCCAGGTACCGCAGACACCTCCAGGCATGTGGGCGATATCGGCGATAACCAGAGACTGGTCGTAGTATTTCTTGCTGCCGATACGCACCGAATCACGGCCCTTCTTGCCGTTGGGGTTTAGCTTGGTAGCATGATCGACACCCAGGTAGACACTGCCAGTATCGGTGAGCTTAACGAGGCCTGTGCTTTCGGCGGTCTCCTTGTCGAGATAGTTAACAAAGCCATTTGTCGGGTCGGAGCCAACATGGAAATTGAAATAATCCAGGAAGTTCTTCCCCTGCCAAGTCTCCACCAGGGAGTAAGTTGTGGCGGCCACGGGAGAACATAGCAAAGCGAGCATAAGCGATCCAGCGCTCAATGAACGTGTTGAAGAAACCATTTTGTCTAGATGGCGTATAACAAGACCAAATGCTTGTGAGATAATCCAGAAAGTAAAGATGAAAAGAAAAAAAGAGTGTGTGTGCAATTGATAAAAAAAGAGCGAAAAACAACTAAAAGAAAGACTGACAATCCCAGATTGTCAACAAGGAGAAAAGAATGTGAGCGTGTCCAACGTATCGAAGGTGGGAAGTATTTGACCCAAATACCTTTCACCAGCCGCACCATCCCATATTGCTTTGTGCTAAAAAACTGGAGATCAATTTTTCTATCCAGTGAAAATGCACCAGTGCCTGTGACCTTTTGACTGGGGTTGAGCGAATGTCTGTAATAGGCTGCAACGCCGGAGTCATAAAGCCCCGTGGCGTCTTAGTCCAGGAGTCCAGTCCAGTCACGATGATCCATTCTTAAGAGCAATAAGCCGAGCAAGATAAAAACGATCGACTGGTCGCTGTCACAGCGGTTAACAGTTAGTTCGTAGGGGAGTGGTGTCAAGCTGAAACCCCTAGGGTCCACTGGAGGGGTAACCCAAAACACGCAGTGAAACAGGGGAATATTTGCATCTGCACAGAAAGAAAGAAAAATAGAAAAATAGGACAAAAGAAGAGTATATCGAGTACTTCGTAGAGAGAATCACATCTTCAAGATCTCTCGTCATTCAACTTTCGACCGTCATGATCACATTCCAAGTTAACGTGAGATCAAAATGCTAGGACAATGTGATGATCCGAGTTGCCGGTCTATCCACTTTGCCCCTTCTCGGCATTTTAGCGCTCAGGTCTAGACTGTCCAGACAGTCTAGACTGTACTTTGTTCAATTTATTTTGTAGCTGAATACGGACTATGGATCCTTGTGCTAGTTAATTTGGATAAGTCATGTCAACATTAGAACATAAACATTCATAAGACATCACATTCCAGATCCCGAGGAATGTTGCCACAACACAGCGGCATACAACCTAATCCATGGGAATATATATTGGATACTCCGTAGGTTTTGCCATGCTCGTATATACTTCGAGACAAAAATATAACTATAGACCGTAATGATCTTGGCCCATCAACGCCTATCCCGTGTTGCTGGGCACCGGATAGCAGATTGTACAACGTAGGGAATAGGTATCTTCTGTATGGAAACGTCATACAAACCAGCACCCTATGTAATAGAAACAAAACAATCGGCCGCGTTTGCAACCTTATGTCTTTTTAGATGGTCTTTTGAGGTGTCTTTTAAGGTGTCCTTTTGGTTAGTCTTTTTTAATGTCTTTTTAGCTGGTGTTTTAAGATAGAAGTGAAAGCGGTAAAGCATACTTTGTGTAAGCGACTTTTCTATGTATAACCTGTGATGTAAACAAGTGGTTGGATCAGAAAAAAGTCTCGAATGCACATTGGAAGGGAACCTTAGAAAGCACCCTTCCGACGGAGGCGATGTAATCACCTGCGCCAGCCTGCTGCTTATCCAGCAGAAAAAAATAAACAAATTGAAAAGACAAAAACGACCCCCATCATTATCGAATTAGGTACGTCGAATATTTGCGAATTGTTCCTTGATGTTTGTGATCATTGCGAGAATTCGGTCAAATTGCGCCCTGTGCTGGTCTGGTGTGGTAGTTGGGATGAATGCCCGAACCGGGACGATAAGATCAGCGAAGTTATCAGCCCGTATAGCTTCGTAGATAGCGGCGTTCTTAGCATCACCAATGCCAATATCGGCCTGCATCTGCCGAACGACCTGTTCTAGACTTTCGGCAACTGCTAGGCCGGTATGGCCTCCTCGTTGTGTACGTTGATACAAATATCTAGCGAAGTGATCGAAGACTGAGAGGAGCGGCCACGCCGGTGACTCTAGGGAGGAGTTTCGGGGACGCGGAGTAACTGGTAAAAATCGCAACGGCTCTTCCGTCCGTTCCACTGGCAATTTCCGCACGCTGTGACAATGCGATCTATCTCGTGGAAGCGAATACACTTAGCCCCGGGGCCATCTTTTTGTCGACAGTTTGTACATTCTTGTCGTCATGCTTCTCTCACAATCTAGATGAGTATGGATTCAACGTTTGCCACTTTGGTGTTGATGCGCTCATCCATACGCTTTCCGGTGTAGTGAGTAGTTGATCGCTGTAGTAGCTCTCTCTGTGGTGTCGCTTCCTTAAGGAGCTTGATCTGAGGCAGGGAGGAGAGTGGGAAGGGAGAGTGAGAAGGGAGAGTGAGAAGTGAGAAGTGAGAAGTGGGAGTTGGAAGGCGGAGGGTGCACTCCACAGCGATCATTTAATAATTTCTTATGTATGGGTTTGGGTATGGGCTTGGGTTTACGGTTTTACGGGTTACAGGAATGGGCTGATTCCACGCTCTTTTTTATCACCATCTGTACACTCCTCTTGGATTCGGCGTTAGGACTCGAGTTCTTGCTTCAGTTGGAAGAAGCGCCTGCATAGTCATACGCAACTAGTTAGACTGCAACAGGTTAATTGAACTTTGATCGATTGATTGATACTATTCCGAGTTCCTTATTATATGCATACTCTGGCAGATAGGCTGCTTTTTTCGTATTTCGTTCCTCAATTTATTATTAGAAACATCGTGGAGAAAAACCATATCCATTGAGATCATGAAAGAAAGAGATCTTGGCAAATAACGTTGCACTAGTCACAAACTAAAACTGCTAGTTATATCTCGTACTCGTTATGTTTGCCATTTCGGGACATCTATAACACGTTTGATTGGACAAGAGACTACGAACTGCTTGGGTGGATCAGAGCAAAAGAAACTACAGCAAGCTTGACCCTGTTTCGTTATTTTCGGATAATTCGTATCCTTATACCCAAAAGGACTAGTTTTGCTCTTCTCGACTCACATCAACGAAAAGGGCTCCCTAATTGTGGGGCAAGGCAGAGAAATATCAGCACAGCGTGTATACTAATATTAAATGATCTGCCAAGTTAAAAAGACGTTTAAATAGCAAGTTTCTTCTCATAAGCTGAGCTGGACCTTTTTACTCAATCATTTAAACGGACGGATTTTTCACTCCTTTTCATTTTCAAACAGCGTTGCCCGTCTTTCTCGAATCCTACGACTTTCCACTCCTTTCTATATTCAAACAACGTCGTCTATCTTCATCGAATCCCACTATCTTTCAAGACAAGCCATCCATCTTATTTCCAACCCATCTTTTGGGTTACGCTCGCACATCATGGCCGAGGGGTTCAAATTGTACCATTACAACCCATCTGTCGGGTCTGCTATCGCCTTTGCAGCAGTATTTGGACTCACTACCGCCATACACATCTGGCAATTAGGTCGGAATAGAACCTGGTATTTCATACCATTCGTCATCGGTGGCTTATGTGTGTGCTCCTTCTATATCTTTTCAATCCTCTTTTAAAACCATGCTAATCGTTGTGAACTATTTTCAGTTGAGGCATTGGGCTACTTAGCGAGGTATGCCAGCGCAGAGGAGGCCCCGGATTTCACCACCAAGCCATATATTGCACAGAGCTTGATGCTCCTGTTAGCACCTGCATTCTTTGCGGCTTCCATATACATGATTCTCGGTCGGATCATTCGTATGCTGAACGGGGCCTCGTGTTCCCTAGTCAGGCCGACATGGTTGACGAAGATATTTGTCACGGGTGATGTGCTATCATTTTTCATCCAGAGTGGAGGTACGTTACATGATTACTCTGCAGCATGAATCGTTACTGATGTTGTTTCTTTCTTGAAGGAGGTGGAATGCTTGCTACCGCGAAGGACCAGTCGAAAGTAAAACTTGGAAACAACATGATTGTTGTCGGACTTTTCGTTCAGATCCTATTCTTTGGGTTCTTTATCATCATTTCCGTGGTTTTTCATCGCCGCATGCTAGCTACACCTATGCATGCTGCGGGCGACACTCGAATCCCCTGGACCCGCTACATGAAGGTCCTTTATACTGCCAGTGTCTTGGTCCTGGTTCGATCAATCTACAGAGTGGCAGAATATGTTCAGGGCAGCGGTGGATTTCTTCAAAGTAAAGAGGCATTCATATATGTGTTCGATGCGGCGTTGATGTTCATCTGCTGTCTGCTTTTCAACTTCTTCCATCCAAGCAAGATTCTCTCAGGCTATCAAAAAGCTCGTGGAGACCCGGATCTGGAAATGTTGAACCAAGATACCGGATATACAGGACAAGTCAGGTACAACAACATCTAATGAACATGCGCTTTTTGTTAGACCACGCTTTCCTTTTGTACAGTAGACAGATGTTTCTCAATGACAATTGTGTTGGCAATAAATATTTTTTTCGAGAGGTTTCCATCTAGGAGCAACACCCATAATAAACTTGAGATAGCTTGCAACTATTATTGGTAGTTGAAACTATGCGCTTGGAGTATTTCCGGTGCTTTAAGTATTGCTCAATGGTGATGGTGATGTGACGTTATAAGCCCGGGTATCTCTGCCGCTACTACTTTGCCTTCGTGTGTTTCAATAATCGTCAACATCTTTACGAAATCTAGAACACTAATTTTATCTTTGTGGGGTAATTCAAACTTCTTCAAGTACCTAAATGCGTGATGTCAAGCCTAGGGGAAGCTAAGGATGTCGATTTATCTATCGAAGACGAATTGAGCGCGAGGCGTGGCTATACAGCGTGAGCTTGGGTGGGGTCATTTTCATTTATAGCCGTTATTAATACTTTCCAGTGCTCTCGCCAATCCTAAAGTATCTAAGAAGGCTAAGCGTAATGCATTAGACCTTCTCAATGATGAGCTTGGTGGGGATACACCTCGACATTACCTTAATGAGGCTCCGGACCAGAGTAAAGACCAGAGTGGTCTAGCTGGCGTGGGAAGGTGAGATATATTAGTATACAATGCTGAGTCAATTGCTAACAATAGTCCATCTAGAGCTGAACACAAATCTCACCACACCACTCAAGGCGAAAATGACTAGGAGGGACACAATCATTATCCAGGATAGGAAGTCAATTACGTTCACATATTTGCATGACGCAAGTTGGCTCCTTCGCAGGATAAAATAAATGGGATCTCTATGTTGCCGTAACTCTTTCTATTTCTCTTTCTCTTTCCATCTACTCCATTGGGGAGGTTAGCATGCTTTCCTCCTCTGGCCACTTTCGAAACAAATCCTGGAGATAGTCCAGGGGAGCCATGAGCAGGTCGGCTACAGTCTCGAAGCGTGGGTTCTCCAGGTCATATGGATGCGAGCGAGAGGGCAAGAACATCTTAGTACGGCTAAGAGATTGACCCAGCTTCTCGCTCTCATCAGAAGTGAGGGTTTCCTCCAGTATGACCAGGTCGTTTGACTCTTCATCTCGCATATGCTTGGCAAGACCTTCCATCAGCATCGTAATTGTAGGGAGGAAACGAGGATCAGAACAGTTTAGATCTTGGAACACGTAGAGCATTTCTCTGAGCTATGATATATCAGCTTCGCTCTCTCTGATAAAGATTTGAATACTTACCGCTGAATGCTCACGCCGATCGTCATCTATCTTCTCCTTGCCGTCAGATCGAGCCTTTTCCAGTGCAGGGAACACTACTAGCTCCTCGGCGATGGCATGTCGTGCTAGTTCCCAGGTAAACTGATTCTGAAATCTGGTTCGTTCATCTTCATCTTCGGAGTTCATAATGATGTTGTAATAAGATTCGAGTCTCCGGTGATCATCTTTGATTGCCTCACTTATCCGAACCATGTTGGCGTATTATTGTGAACATTAGAAGTTCATTTTGATCTTCTTTTTTGTTGCCGCACATGTCTTTGGTTCACTGAAGTTATTATGACGTTTCAACGGCTTTGCAGTAGCCCCGACATTTACAGCGTCTCGTGGAACGTGATTCCGAACTGTTCACCTCCGAATATAGAATATCGTCTTCTGACATTTACTCTGGAGATAACATGATCGAGTCGGGAGATAAGTTTTAGAAAAAAAATTCAAGAACATACTCTTTCCCCTTGATCTCATGACTTTCATCAACGGCTGCCTGATATGATATGCAGTGCCCGAAGTGCGGTATTTGATTATTTGCTGCTGCAGGGGGCCCGAGGGCTATAAAATGCCTTGGGTACATCTCTCATGTTCCGTCCTTTTCTTATTCCTGGTTCATCACCTTAACTTTACCATGAATCAATATTCTCAATGACAGTTCTAGAAAAAGGAGAACGTGGACCCCCCAAAATGGCGAGTCAGGGCCAGCGGTTAGAGCATTTTGGGTTATTCCAAGGTCTTGGTCAAGGCTGATATAATCTACAGAGAACAAATCCAGCGAGAGCATCTTCCCCATGATCCGCCTATATACGGACAGATGAAGGGTGGACTTTGCGGTCGCATCTCCCAGTGGCTATGGTCTGGATGGCGGGGTACGGCATTTGAAGACGCTTCCCCAGATTTGCAGAAACCTTACCAGCTGAATCCGGGGGACTGCAAAGCCTGTCGTGAACAGCGTGCTGTTTGCGATCATACACGACCTCAATGTTCTCATTGCTGGTCTCAACAGCTCTTATGCTTCTATGTGGACCCGAAACAGAAGAAACAGAAAGATCATCGGAAGCCAACTATTAGTGAAGTGGAAACGGTTTCCAGGTGGATTAAAGATGCGACAGTGTGACTATGACTATTTTATATGTTCTTATTCCCTTTAAACCAAATTTGTATGAATGATGATCCAGTTTTTTGCAATTTCATCATGGTCGCAGGTTTACCATCTCGAGGCTATCAAAGCCCTACATATTTTTGCCTGAGCATTTTTGCATTCTTACATTCTTTGTTTTATCCCTCTTTAGACACTCACATTTCAAGAATTGATTTGGAGTCCAGCATTATTTTACCAAAATCAAATGAGGTACTTCTCAAGTTCACAGATTCCCGGTGTAAAGCCGGAGAATTGTGCCCCGAAAAGATTTTGGTATCAAAATCCACATGTGCATCAACACGTCCAAGAGCGCCCCCCCCC